CCCTGGGTGATGTGGCTCGGTGGATGGAGTGCCGGCTCGGGAACCAAACGGCCGCTGGTTCGATTCCCAGTCAGGGCATACACCTGGTTGCAGGCCAGGTCCCCAGTAGGGGGCGCATGAGAGGCAACCACACACTTTGACGTTTCTCTCCCTCTCTTTCTCCCTCCCTTCCCCTCTCTCTAAAAATAAATAAACAAAATCTTTTGAAAAAAGAAATTACTTCATCTGTTTCTATCGGAAAGAAAATGATTAAACCAAGAAAGTAATTATTTTCACGCCCTAAGTATCACGACAGATAACTTTGTCACTGATGTCCAGATCTGAAAAACACTCTCCCTTCAGTGTTAGAAAAGCCCGTATGATCCACAAAGCTTGAGTTCATGGACGTCAGGAGTGATTACAGCGAGGCCCCAGTGTGAAGCAAGAGTTTGAGTAACTAACACGCCGAAATCGTTGAAACTTGGTGCCTTGACCACAGAGTGCTGTGGGTCCCCACAGCTGTTACCACTTTGAAACACTCCCACCTAGTGGTTCAGTCTTTTAATTACACCTTTTATTAAACCGGTTACAATTAGAAGATGCTGCCACTGTTTAACTTCCTCAGAGAGACACGTTTTGGTGATTTTAAATTCATTTTAAGACACAGTTAATTATGATGCTCTGCATAGGGACTGTGTTACAATGTGAGCACTTCTCCCAAGGAATTACCAGCATACACTACACACTTTTTAATCATTCTAATCATTCTAACAAATATTGAATTATGTGTAAAATACATAATTAAATATGCTATCTTTAAAATGCACATTGTATTACAGGTAATGTCTTTGTATGCAACTGCCTGAAGCTGACCCCCGTACCAAAAATTTGTATTGATCCTAATATGGAACTTCTGCATTAACCACTGAGTTGTTTTACAAAACGTGAAAAACCGTTTCCCAACAGCAGAAGAGAGGGCTTGGAATCAGCCTTGACCGTTTTTTTCTTCTGTGATGAGCTTGCTGTGCAGTGTTTTTCAGATGGCTGTACGTTTTTTCTTTTTTTAAGATTTTATTTACTAGAAAGAGGGGAAGGGAAGGAGAGAGGGACAGAAACATCAGTGTGTGGTTGCCTCTCATGCGCCCCCTACTGGGCACCTGGCCCGCAACCCAGGCATGTGTCCTGACTGGGAATCGAACCAGCAACCCTTTGGTTCACAAGCCAGCACTCAATCCACCGAGCCACACCAGCCAGGGCTCTGTTTTGCGTTTTACACTGCGGTATAACTAACATCTAACATTACATTAGCTTCCGAGGTACAAACAAGGACTCGGTGTTTTATATACTGTGAAACGAGGACCAACCACATTAAATGCAGCACGTTGTAAACATGAATTTTGTAAAACGCGCACGCCTGAGGCCCGCTGGTTTGGATGAGTGGTGTGTTCTCCCTCGGTGTTACTTGTTACATTGTTTCCCACGTGGTGGCCCCGCCCCAGTCCTGTGCACACCTGACCTTGGCTTTGGGTCTATGCCCTGCCTGGCCCCTCCGGGTGTCGGGCTGTGGGCCGGGCAGACAGCCTTGCTGTCCTCCCGGAACCACGCGAGACTGTAAGTTAACAGGGGACTGGTCGCCGTGGCGAAGAACAAGGGTCAGTACTGCCGCCACACTAGCGCGGACCATCGGTCCCCTCCTCTCGGCAGCAGAGAGAACTTTACCCGGTTTACACAGGGTTTGGGGGGAGGGCAGCCGGGGCAGGAAGAAGGGCGATCGATCGCCAGTGTCCTGGGGCAGGGCTGCGGCCCCCTGGGCGCGGGGGAGGGGGCGGTCAGGAAGGTGGGAGGGGCTGGCTCCCGCAGGGTCCTGGGCGTGGGAGTCTGGGACAGTGGCCGCAGGCATTGTGAAACCTGAGTACAACTAGGGTGGACTTGATGGAGTTCCCGGGCCTGTGGTCGACGGAGAGGGGCCGGAAGACCCGCCACGGGAGAGGGGGCGGCAGCTGCCTTGGGCTTGGGGGCGGGGGCGGGGCAGCGGCACCGCTGGAGAGGCAGGAGTGGGTCTGAGAGCCAGCTCGGGGCCGGGGCCGACAGGGCCCGAGGCAGAGCAACGAGGAGCAGTCCCTGCTGCGTCCCCGATGCCGGGCCGCTCTCGAGGACAGAGGACACAGCGGACAGGCGCTCGGGGGCAGACGGAGGCTCCCTTCCGCCCGAGGAGGGAGCGGCCGGCACTCACAGGCACGCGCGCCCGGAGCCCGCGCCCCTTCCGCGATGTGACACTGGGCACGCGGGCGTCAGAGGGGGGCGCCGTGCGAGGTGACCGGGGTTTGCGGTGAGCAGGAAGGTGCGTCCTGCCCTTGGGGACCCTCTGGGCCCCCTGGGGAGGGACGGCGGTGATCTCACAGCCACAAGGAGGGCAGAACCGGGGCGGTGGCCCAGCCGGGAGCTGGGCACCGTCCCATGGACCGAAGGGTCTCGAAGGGTCTCGAAGGGTCTCGAAGGGTGTTGGGTTCGATTCCCAGTCAGGGCACATTCCCAGGTTGCAGGTTCAGTCCCCGGTCAGGGCATGCACAAGCAGATAACTGATCTCCCTCTCTGGCTCCCCCCTGTGTCCTCCTCTCTCTCTGAAAGCCATGGGGAAACGTCCTTGGGTGAGGATTCAAAACAGTAACAGTAACACCCGCAGCAGCGACGGGCGACGACAGGAGAGGCCGGTCCTCCATCCGACGCACCAGGACGCGGCCCCGGGCTCGGTCTGCACGTCTTCCCGGGGAAGTGCCCGCACACTGCCCCAGAGCGCTCAAGCAGACCAGGGGCTCTGTGCGGGAGCGACGAGAGGTTTAGGGACCTCGGGACAGGAAGGAAACCGACAAGCACTTGTGGCCGATTAAAGACGGCGCCCTGGCCTGGTTCCTGCACAGCAGGGCCCGCAGCCATCAGTGCGCCGGCCGAGGGTTTACCAGCGAGTGCGGGCCTGACACACGCGTGTGCGAGGCAGGGGACCGAGGGGGCTGCAGAAGGTGCTCCGCTGAACTGGCCGCTGCACCTGTCGGTGATGCTCCGACCCAGGGACCGTCCTGTGCAGGAGGCAGGGCAGGGGGGGGGACAGGGGAGCACAGAGAAGGCTGGATCTGTGCGCCGGGCCCCTCCTCCCACGGGTGCGTGTCCACTCCCTCGGGTGCTCTCCCCTCCATGCTTCCTGGGGGGTGTGGACGGCCCTGGGAGGGCCTGTCAGCCACAGAGAGGCGCCCCATGAACTCTACACCCGTGTCCACCTGCAAGCGGTTGTGGTCGCGGCAGAGCTGCCCACCAGGGCCGTTGTTGGCGCAGCCCGGAGGAGGCCCAGGGTGGCAGGAGGGGCCCCAGAGGCACCGGGGACAGCGCGGGACAGGGAGGGGGACGGGAAGGGTGAACAGCAAGTGCGGGTGCTGGGCAGGGTCCGGCCGTGCGGGACACCGAGGGCCGGAAGATTTCTGGCGTGCGGAGAGAGCGGGGGAACGGCACGCCGGGGGGTCCGAGAGGGGAGAGCTCAGCCAGACCTGCACCCCGACTGTCGCCCGCCCCGTGCGGGGGGGGGGCACCAATCCGCAGCACAGCCCGAGGACCGGGGCCGGCGGGCACGGCACCACCGCGGTTGCAGGCAGAGCAGTGCGCAGATCCAGGAGACGCTCGGGCAGCCACAGCAGCAGCCGCCGGCAATGGGCCGAGCCCGGGGGGAAGGAGGCGGCGTCCAGGCAGCAGCCAGCACCCAGGGGGGCACTGCCCCTGGGCGGGAAGAACCACCGGCCTGGAGGGGCCTTCAGACGTCCGGGGGGAGAGGCCGAGCGGGAGGTCACCCGCAGAAGCCCCGGCCTGAGGAGAGCCCTGGGCCGACAGCCCCCTGGGGTCACGTGTCTGCACGAGAGGACGACACCCTCGGGTGGACCGGCACGTGAGGGAGACCCCAGAGTCACCACGAGGCCCGGACTGAGTCTGCAGGGCGCCCCAGAGGCCAGCAGGGTCGGACGCTGCGTCTCCCCCCGTCGGAGAGCTCCAGCGCACCCCGCTCACCGGTGCACTCCCACCCCTGCCTTTTCGGGGGGGGCACCACCGCCACTTAGCTGCTGACTCGGACCACAGCGGCTGCCCCCCCGGCCGATGCCGCGACCACACATCTGAGCCCCGAGACGTGTGCAGACAGGGTCGGCCTGAGCCTCACGCGCGCCCTCCCTGGGCACTCCCAAGAAGGTGGAGGTGGGGTCTCGGGGACACCCGTGGGGACCTCGGCCCCGGGCACGGGGTTGGGCAGCCAGCTCCAGCTCCGGTCTCCGGGGCAGGCTGCCTGCACTCACACACCAAGTGCGCGGCCGCCCTGGCCTCGGCCTCGGCCTCGGCCTCGGTCTACGGACAGAAGGTTGTGTTCAACGCGGTAGCGCGTGGGAAACACTCCTAACGTCCCAGTTGTCAACAGACTGTCCGTCTGCTGCGCCGGACTGGGTGCCTGTCGCCCATCGGTCTTTTGGGGGAGCACGGTTATTGGGCATTTCCTTGAAAAGCAGGTTTTCTGCATTGTTTTAAAAACAGCCAGATGGATACACACTCCCCTTAATTTTACCTTAATCTGAAGTATAGAATTTATTGGCAAGTTACATTTTGTAGACTTTTTTTAAAGATTTTATTTATGTATTTTTAGAGAGGGAAGGGAGGGAGAAAGAGAGAGAAACATCCATGTGCAGTTGCTGGGGGCCGTGTCCCACAACCCAGGCCTGTGCCCTGGCTGGGAATCGAACCTGTGACACTTTGGTTCACAGCCCGCGCTCCATCCACTGAACTATGCCGGCCAGGGCTCACACTGGTTTAAAACTGTCCCTTGGAAACACAGCCCTTGAAATAAAAATACCTCATCTATACCTCATTGGTCCTTTACCAATCTGTGCCTCACCCACCGATCGATATTCCGGCATCAGGGGCGAGGGAAGATGCGGTCGGTAAGTGAATTCTGATCCTTCTCCCCGGGACGGAAAGGAACACAAACGCCGTGTGGGTCCGGGAAGTCAAACCTTTATTCGGAAAGTCGGATCTCATGAATAATGAAAATATCCTGAAGCCTTACGCATCCGTCGGGAAAACACAGCGCCACCCACAGCACAAACACGTCAATGACAAAGTCCCACTGGGAACACAGACCCGGCCCCCAGGGAGCGGTGGGTCGGGCACGCTGGCCCCCCCCCGCCCCGCGAGGGCGCCCTCCAGCCCCCGAGACAGGGCGGAGCGAGCTGGCTCCAGCCACTGGGCTCACTCCGGGCCGCGGGGAGGGCGGGTGTGCCGGCCGAGCTGAGACCCTGGCCCCGCGGGATCCGCCCGGAACGGTGTCCATGGCCCACGTACCCTCGTGGGAACATAATCCGGGGAGGGCCTCCACTGGCAACTTCGCTCTCCATGCTCAGAAAACAACACACCGACGTTTCTCACCATCGGTCTCTCTTTAGCTCAAATCTCCCTTGCGTATAAAATAGGGCAAGATATTATTTTGGGGACTTGCGGCACAACGGCACTGTGCTTTTACACCGGCTATAAACACGGGCACACCTGGAATAGCGGATGCCGTCACACGGATAGAGTAAACCCCTCGAGCGCACGCCCTCTTACAAACACGCATGCAAAGTCCGTGACGAGCGCGTCCGTGTGGCAGAGACCCTGCTTGGCCGTCTCCTCGTCGGGCAGTGCTGGCGGCAGGTGCCCAGCGCGCTGCCCGCGGAACAGGAGGGTTGCGTGCTTCCTGGAGGTTTGTTTCTCTACAAAAATATATTTCTGTGCTCACAGGGGACCGCGGTGGTATGTGGGGGTGACTTTCTGACGCAGCGTGGGGGTGCCGGCGTGTGGATGAAGGTACAAGGCATCTCAGCTTTTACATCATTTTCAATGTTTCTCCATAAAAAACACCCTGTGACGAAGAGAAGGGGACTGAGCACGTCGCTGGCACGGCGTCGCTGAGACCACTCGCAGCGAAGGGGTCGGGCCACCTGCCGGAGGTCTGACGCCCGGGGTCGGCGCTGGAACCGGGAGAGGACCCGGATCCCCCACCTGGGGCGGCCCTCGGCTACACCCAACCGGCGGCGTCTGCACAGCGCTGATGACAGACCAGGGGAAGGGGCCGGCCCTCCTGCACCGGAGCTCTGGGGAGAGGCCGCACAGGCTGGGACGGCTAAGAGGGGCCCCCAAGGGCACAAGGGAGGACGGGACGCAGCGGTGCTCCCCACGTCCGGGAGTTTGGGGTGCTTGGACCACATGGGCGGGCAGGGGCCCCCTCACCACCCAGACGGAGGAGGGGGCCCTGGGGGTGGGACCAGGGAGCGTGTGGTCACTTGTGTTCGACGGGCAGTGAACCTGCTGCCAGGGCTCTTCCCGAGGCTGTTTCCAACGTGCACGGTCCCCTCCGGGCCCCTTTTGAGGGACGACGAAGAACAGGAGCGAAAACCCCTGCACAGCCGCCCCCCGCCAGGCGCAGCCATGGCCTCCTCAGCGGCCGAGCACTGGAAACTGCTCGCGGGGAGCCGGCCCACGATGCTGCTGCCCCCGGAAAAGCCGCTCCTCCGCCATCAGGCGGGCACGGAGTTCGGGGCGGCAGAAGGTCTGAACCGACAGCCAGTCCACGCGGTCCCTGCGCGGATAACCATTGCACACGCCCCGACGCTGGCCCACAGGAGGCCGAGTGGGCACAGAGGCCCAAGTCCAGGACTCAAGGGGCGGTGCCCCCGACCGCAGTCCAAGAAAGGAAGTGACATCTGTGGACGGGTTTCGCGTAAACACTCGGAGTTTCGTGGCGGGGCGAAGACCTGTTTCCACAGACGGAGAGGTCGACGCTGAGTTTCACCGACGCGCATGCAGGGTCCTCCACGCTATTTCTAAAGGGGCTTCCACGCACAGTTCCGGAGCGACCGGCAGCCCGCGTGCCGGGAGCGGCGCCCCCTGGGTGCACACAGATGCTGCCGGAGGAGAAGGGGGGGACAGGCCCCCCCGAGAGGGGGGGAAACATGAGGGGGGCGAACATATACGCACAGGAACCTCTACTGTAAACAGTGTTCTCTGGGGGGCCGGGCGGGAGCACACTCAGCCACACAACTTGTTTTAGAGGCTATGGAAACATCCGGAAACAATCCCCCCCCCCGCCCCGTACTCATGTGGCCTCTGACTCGGAGACGGTCGGAAGAAGCGATGTAGCAACAGAAGGCGAGCGTTTCGGACAAAGTCTCCCGTCTGGGGCCTCGTGTGTCCGGGGGTGGCTCCGGAGAGGAGTCGAGTGGCGACTTCCTGCTGACCCTCCTGGACAGACGGACAGATGGACAGGCCGGCCTGCTCTCCAGCCCCTCTGGCCTCAGCGTGAAGCCGCCTCCACTCTACACCGTGTGGGCAGGGACACCGTGTGCACGACGCACTCACGAAGCAGATGCATGGACACCCACACGGACAGGAAAGGAGGCGGCCGTCCTGTGGACGCGGAGCCGCGTGGACCCACTCAGGGCCCCCGGGGGCCGGAAGACCTCGGCCTGCGCTGTGTCCGGCGGCCCCGGCGGCCGCCCCCTCCGCAGCTGGGTTTAGTCCGAGAGCGGAACAAACCGGACGGGCACCGACGCCCCCACGGACGGGGAAAGCGATTCACGACGAAAGCAAAGCAGCCAGACGTCCGTTCGAGCGTGGGCGCCCTGGGGGGCAGACGGGTAGAGCTCCATGACCAGGAGCCGAGAGTCTGCCGAAGACCTGTCCTAAAACTTAAATAATAGGTTTTGTACACAGTCCACACGGGGTTCTGGCAAGACATTCACGTGCCTCTTTACACTTAGATAACCTGTCTCTCCACGCCCTTGTCAGAGTCCCTCGGCAGCTCTGAGAGGCCCCGGGCGGTGGCCCCGGCCCTGTGGACGCGGGGAGCACCCCCCAAGGGCCTCTGGATGCGGGGGTGCTGGGTCCGCACTCAGGGCCGTGTCCTCTGCACCTTCCCACCCGGAGAGGGGCAGACAAGGGGCCCCGGGCCTGCGGTGCTGGGTGCTTCCCTCCTCACGGCAACGCTGCTCTTCCCCGGGTGTCTGCAGGGCGCTGCCGTCCCCGGGCTCCTGGCCGTGCATGTCCGTCCCAGCACACACGCGCCCCGCCCCGCCCCGCCCCGCCCCGCAGTGGGTGGGCGCGGGAGGCCGCGGGACGGTCACGCCCGCAGCGGGAAGGTGGCCGCGGAGCTGGCGTTGCTCTCCGCGGAGCCCCTCTCCTTGGAGCCCGCGTAGGCGCCGATGAAGGACCCGTCCTCGCTGAACAGGCGCTGGTCCCCGTCCCCGTACTGCACCAGGCTGTCCGCGCTCTCCGTGGCCTGCGTGTCCCGGTGCAGGGACCGGGGGCTGCCTCGGAGCGGCTTCTCGTCACTGTCGCTGGAAGACAAGAGACGTGGGCAGCGGAAGGTCCCCGGAGCTGCTCGCGGCGGCAGCAGCGGGGTGCCGCGCGTCTCCGAGCGTGCAGGGCGTTCAGCCAACCCCGGAGACGGAGGAACCAGCCCCGAGGGACGCTTCCACACCCACATGCCTCGAAAGTCACGACCGATCCGCGTCCCTCCGAGTGACCCAGACCTGTGTCCCGTCCTCCCAGCACCCCTGCCGTCCCCACAACAGGGAGCCTCTGGGCTCCCCCTCGGCCTTCCCGACCCTCGGGGCCCGGGTTGCCAGCCCCTCCCCAGACCACTCTCCTGTTCCGGTTCCTCAACCAGACTCTGCCCCTCATAACCAGAGAGGTTCCTTAAATACAGTCTACAACCTCCCGTTTGTTGGATAAAAGGGGTGGCTGCTGTTTCAGGCCATAAGCACCGCAGGCGCCCCGTGCTGACGGTCCGGGCTCTGCTCCTGGGAGAAGCCACTCGGAGCGGGTGAGGCGCCTGGGACCCGGTGTGGCCTCGTCCCACCGTGCAGTGGCAGTGAGACCACCCACCGTGCAGTGGCAGTGAGACCACATGAAACACCGCTACAGAACCGGAAAGGGGGGGAGTTTGGAAAAACGTAACAAGCACGCAACCAGCACTGGGTGACAGGTGGCACGTGGTGGCCCCTCAGGCCGCAGCGTGGACGCCTGGCTGAGGGCTCTGCCCCCTCCCGTCACATGGGACTCGCCGTCACCAGGAAGCACGTGCAGAGGTGACCTGTGCCCCTGCCAGCCGGCCGGTGCCCAGGCCGGGTCCCCTGCAGTACCGTCTGTGCCCTCCCCCTGGCCAGTCACTGCAGTGACCACCGTCGCCAGAGCCAGGTGAGCTGGACACACAGCCAGCAGGAGTGTGACATGAGCCATCCTGCCGGGGACGGTCACTGGCCCCAGAACGGGGCGCTGGGTCACAGCGACACAAACCCGGGCGGCGGCTCTGGCGGGGGCTGGGCGGTGGTGGGTGGCCAGGAGCCACTCCCAGGGCTGGGACGCAGCCCCCAGGACAGCGGTCTCCTGGGGGGACCTTCCCGGGCGGCACTCGGGGTCAGGGACGAGCATGACGAAGGCGCTGACCGATCTGAGGGCTTGGGGGTTGGGGGGCCGGGGCGGCGACCTCACCCCGTGACGGCCCCGGGCTGTGACCCCTTGCCAGCGGGCGGCCTCGCGTGTACCTGTAGTCGCCGAAGGTCTCGTCCTTCCCCGACTGCACCTCCGGGTCCGGGTGCAGGTCTTCCTTCTCCTTCACTGCAGGGAGGGGAGAGGAGTCACGCACTCGACCTACGGACACGCCGGCCGTGCCGCGGGGCCCTCCCTGGGGGCGGCGGGCCTCGCCCTCCCTGGCGCGAGGAGCCGGGGTCCCTGCCGGCCGAGCTACCGCCCGCCAGTCACCCCTCACAGGAAAGGAGGGTTTCCCGGGGGGGGGGCTCCCCCTCTCCGGGATCCCCGTTCCCGCACGTCGCGGACCCCCACTAAACTAAACGTGCGGAGCGTTTACGCAGTGCCCTGCGCCTGCAGGGCGCACCGCAGAGCCAGGGTCCCCCAGCCGCCCCAAAGTGTGGGGTGCAGACCACCATCCCCTCCAAGGGCATCGTGGGAAGAGGCTGCCTTAGAACTCGGGGAGGGCCGCGCCGCACAGCGACGGGCCGAGCCCCCAAAGGCTCGCCCCGGAAAACCTGTGCACAACGGACGGCTCAGTCTCCGCGGGGAGGCGGCGGGCTGTGCCACTGCCCGTGCTTTCCGTGCAGTTTCACCAAAACGTGGGCGTTGAGCTCATCTGCTCGCTGGGTACGCACGGTGGGCTGCCGGCAGAGCGCGGGCGCTACCTGAGTACTTCCCGCCCCGGTTCCTCTTCACGAAGCAGACGGTCAGCAGCACGAGCGTGAGGGCGGCCACGGCGCACATCAGCCCGATGAACCAGCCCTGCGTGGCGATGTCCGCGTACAGGCCCGCGTGCTCTGCCGCACAGAGAAGGCACACACCACCCTGAGCGCTCGCGAACCCGGCCTCGGGGACGCCTAATCGTCATCTCTAAACACGCAATCGGGCGTCAGCATTGGGCCCTCCTGCGAGGGACCCCGGAGCGGGGGGGGGGGGGGGCCCGAGGACAGGGAGGGGAGCCCCGACCAACGCTCGTCGGGGACCGAGGAAGGGCCTCTCCGGTCACGTCTGAGTCTGAGAACGGAAACCAGAGAGGACAGGGCAGGCGGTCAAGTTCAACACACACAACAGAAGCGCAAGCGGAAGCCGCCGGGGTTACAGGAGGCCGCCGTGGCCGCTCTGGGCGTGCTGGTGCGCGCGGTGGTTTTCCTGCTTAGCGTTTGTTACTGGCGGGCGTTAGTGCGCAGGAGGCAGTTCTAGGCGGCGACGGCGACAGAAGCAGTGGAGGAGGGAGGGCCGGGGCCGGGTGTTTTCTTGGGATTTTTGGAAACGCCGTGCCGAAGCAGACCGAGGCCGCTTTTCTCTGGCTAACGCACTGCCTGTCGTTGCCTGTGACGCGGGGAGGGGGGACAAGCGCGCCCTGTGCTCTCGGGACACCGGGGGACCGGCTAGGGCTGCCCCACGCGACCCCACTCCTCACCTCTCCCTCTGGCCTCAACCACATCTTCGAAAATGCTATTGTTATCCACCCAGGTCTTAGTCAGCAGGCGCACCACGGGCTCGGCTCCGGGCGCAGGGGGGGCCTCTAGCGGGGGGCCCTGCTGAGTGACATTGACTCCTGCTGAGGTCGGCCCGGTCCCTTTGCCTGAGGAACGCACACAGCGAGAGCGCAGAGGTCGTGAGCAGGGCCGCGACCTGCTCACGACCCGTACCATGACCGGGGCCGCGGGTGGCCCTGTGTCCTCAGACAGTCCCTGAGTGGGCAGGAGATCAATCACGTCAGCGTGTCAGGTTTTCCTTCTTAACTCACTGACACTGGGCAAGGGCGGTGAACGGGACTCACTCACGCCCCCCAGGGGACGTGCAGGCGGGTGGATCGGCCTGCAGGTCGGCCCGGCCACGTGGGGGGCGGGGTGCAGGGCCCGGCGCGGATGTCAGAGCCCTGGGCACTGTCATCCTGTGTCACTCGGATAAACCTATGGAGGACTGAGCAAGGCCACCGAGGGCCCGCCAAACCCCGGGCCACTCTTTCGGCCCTCCCCCAACCCCGTGCACAGTGGTGTGGGTCAGGGCACGGTCACGTGTCCAGTGCAGGGCATTCGCAGGCCCCTGGGCTGCCCCGAGGGCAGGCTGGCAGGTGCAGGGGAAGGACCCCGCGGAGGTCGGGGAGAATTCTGGGAAGTGGCCCTCTCCAAAACACGCAAGCATGCCGACGTGTTCCAGGAAAAGGTCATAGTTGCCGATAAAAATGGGAGTCAAAGGAAATTAAGAGAGACTCTTAGTGGATGATGTTGCAACAAAACACCTAAAATACTTTCTTAGATACATCACTAGGAATGAACTCAATGGAGTGAATGGAAACCAGGACACGCTGATCTACACGGAAGGCAGAGCTACCCCACGTGTGGGGAGCAGCAGGGGCTACAGAGCTGTTTTCAGTGGGGAGCCGTGTCGCGTGCTACATGCTAGGCTGGAACCCAGGGGCAGGGTCTCTGGTCCCGGAAGGGCCCCGTGGCTGATGGAAGCCGCACAGGGGCCGGTTACGTTAGCATTAGCCGAGCAGAGCCATGGAGACCCAGCGCCGCTGGGAGGGAAGGCGGCGAGGGCTGCCTCGGGTGGCAGAAACGTTAGCGGGGACAGTAAGTGGCGCGAGCTGTTGGAAACCAGAGCGAAGCGTTTCATTCAAACCAGCAGACAGAAGAGCACCCGAGTCACTCCCGCCGCCGTCTCCCCCTTCGGCCGTGCGGCCCGAGGGCCCGAGCGTGACGACCAGGAGATGACCAGAGGAAAGGCTTGCAGCCCCTCTCCGAGGAGAGGCCCCTCTCCCTCTCCCCACCTCCCACTTCCCCACCGCAAGCGCCCTCCGGCCGGTCAGCCGGGGGCTCCCACGAGGCCCCCCCACATCCCCCCGCCCTCCGATGAGTCTCCCTCTCTCGCTCTCCTCTCTCGTCTCTCTTCCCGCGTGCCCCTGACACTAAGGAGCGCCCAGCAGATACACCCCAGTGTGCCTGCTGGAGACAAGTCCTGGGGAGGATCGTGGTTCTGAGTCGGAGAAAAACTCGGAGACTAAACTGGACAGACTGCGTGGATGAAGGCGGACTTGTTGGCCATTTTCACGCCGGATGCTCGGGGCCAGCCGCTGGGCGGGGAAACGAGCCGACATGGGGGCCGGGTGGCGGGCCGGCCCCCACCTCAGGGAGGTGAACCGCAGCTGCTGGCCGTGCCTGCGGAGGCCAGCCTAGACGGCCGTGCCGTGCAAACCCACCACTTCGCACACGGGGGAAACTAACTCTGCGTCCAGCGGCCGGACAGACTGAGGTCGCGTCACCCCCAACGTGCACCCCGCCCGCGCCCCGGGGACTCACCGCCGGCCCCCAGCGTGGCGGTCTCCTCCGTGACGGCCTTGCCGCAGCCCCGGGCCGTGCAGGCCCGCAGGTAGAGCTTGTACTTGGTGCTGGAGTTCAGGCCCGACAGGCGCCAGCGGGGCGGGGCGGCAGCGGTGAGGTTGACGGCGTGCAGCTCCCCGATCTCCTCGGTGTCGTTGACTGAGGGACAGAGCACAGCGCCCGCCCGGCTCAGTCCCGGGCACTCAGGCTACCCACCTGCCCACGTCAGTGCCCATGATCTGCCGGCCTGGCGCCCCCGCAGCTGTGGGCTCTGGCTGACTGCACGAGGCCGAATCACGGCCGTGCGTGGGGAGACCCAGCCCCGCAGGAAGGGGCCACTGGCCTGGATCTGCACCGGCCACTGGCTCAGGGTCTCAGCAAGTGACCAGTGAACACGGTCTCTGGCGCCCCCTGCAGGGCTGCTTTCACTAAAGCAGAGGGGGCAGACCTTCCGGAAAAGCCCTGGACTGTGAATCTATCGACCCTGGGGGCCACACGGCCTCTACTGTAACTGCTGCCCTCGGACTCTGTAGTGAGCCACGGCTGTGGACAGACAGATGTACGTGGGCACGGCTGTGTGCCCAGAAAACTGTCCATGAAACAGGCAGGGGGCTGCTCCCCCTCCGGCCAGGGGCGCGGAGCCCAGACCACAGGAAGGCGGGCCCGCGGACAGCCGTGCGCCGCCCCCCGAGGCCCCCACAGAGCAAGCCCTCGCCCAGCACTCCGGACGTGCCCACGGGCCCCCCACCCCGGCCCCCACGCACTGGTCTGGTACTGCAGCAGGAAGCCGACCAGGTGGCCGCTCAGCTTCTCGGGCAGCCCCCAGGCCACCGTGGCCGCGTCTCTGTCGACCTTGACGACCTTCAGGAACGCCGGCTGCTCGGGAACTGGAAGACACAAGGCCGAGGGCAGGCGCTCCCCACTGGGGCCGTTTCCATGGCGAACACCCGAAGCCCCCGCGGCTGTGGCTCTCTGTGGGGGCCCAGACGCCGACTCACGGTGACCACACGGCCGCCCGGGCCCTCCCCGCAGCCGGCCCTGCTCCGCACGGGGCGGGGGGGGGGGCCCTCACCTCCCTCCGGCGTCTGGAAGGTGTAGGGCTCGCTCTCGGGCCCGGCGCCCTTGGAGTTGTAGGCCAGGACGGTGAGGCGGAACTCGCTGAAGGCGTCCAGCGCGGGCAGCATGCCGGAGCCCCTCGGGCCGGGGAGCCGCAGCGAGCGCGCCTCCCTGGGGAGTGGCCGGCCGTCCAGCAGGCTCCTGGTCTTCCACCAGGTGATCTGCAAGGAAGGCGGGGCGGTTACCGCGCCGGCCACGGTGCCAGGGGCTCCTCCCGGCTGCCTCCGGAAGCAGTCCTTTCCTAGGTGTTCAGGCTTCTAAAGCTTCCCTTAAAGATACGATCGTTGATTTTAGAGAAGGAAGAAGGGACAGGGGAGAGACACGGCTGTGAAAGAGAAACACTGACTGGTCACCCCCATGCACGCCCTGACCAGGGATCGAACCCGCAACCTTTCGGTCTACGGGACCAGGCGCCAACCCCCTGACCACCCCCTGCCCCGCCGCCAGGGCCCGGGAGCGTGCTCGTGACACCGCCGCAGGGGGAGGGAGGGGAGCCGGGCGCAGACCTGGTACCCCCTCAGCTGCCCGTGCACTCTGTCCTTGGGCACGGAGGACCAGGTGACTCGGACCAGCGTGCTGTTCACGACCTCCACCCCCTGGACCTCCGGGGCCGCGTCGGGATCTGCGGGGCAGGAGAGGGCAGCGGTCAGCTCCCGGGCACCACTGGCCCGGCCCTCTTCGGGGGCTGGCTGGTCACGTGGCCTCGGAGAGGCACCGCTGTGGAGCCGGGTCCCCCGAGGGGCGCCCCGGCCCACGGGGGTTTCTCGGAGAAGGGGCCCCTCCGCCCTGAGGACTGAACCTCCACGGCGGGCCCGGCGACTCTCTGGGGGCTGCCGGCTTTGGCGGCGCGTGAACTTAACCGGCGCCGTCACCGAAATCGGGAACGCTAGTGAACTAACGAGGGGACCAGCAGCAGACGCCAGCTGACTGCGGCTGCACGTCAGGTGCTGCCCAAGCGCCCGGCCGCACCGGCCCACAGGACCCTCCCAACACGCCGCCGAGTTTGGGTGGAAAAATGCAGCCAGCGGGTGGGGAAGGAGCGGGCGGCTTCCCGGCCTCGGCCTTCTCGTCTGGACGGAAGCGTCACTCGGGTCCCGGGCGGCGGCGGAGGGCGGGGTCCAGCCCAGCCCCGAGGAGCCATCGGCAGGATGCGTGCGGTGCGGGTATTGAACGGTGTGACCCCATCACCAGCACCTCGACGCTCTGTGCACACGCGTGCGTGAGTGTGCATGCATGTGTGCACGCGTGTGGGCTCCGCTCCTGTGCAGACACCGGGGCATGCCCCGCACCGTGGGACGTGCTCCGACAGGCAGCGCGGCCGGGGGGGGGCAGGCGTCAGGAGGGCTTCAATGGAATGGCCGTCGCCATTGGGAACCGCAGACATCACGCCGCCCCGCCCTCCGCAGGGAGGCGCCTGGCCTCCGGCCTCAGCACAGAACCCGCTTTATCCGGAAAGACGTGGAAGCCCCCCACGCCCTCCTCACCCTCCTCACCACCCCGCCTGCAGGGGCCGAGTCCCGCGCCTGCCCCCCAGGAGGAGGCCCACGCTGCACGGCCCACCACCCACGGCCCAGGGCGCGCACCCGTGCCACGCGCCACAGGAGCTGCACACAGCGTGGACGGGGCGCGACCCATGCGAGGGCCACGGTCCCGAGCCCGCGGGGCTGCGGCGTCACTTACAGTCCTCTCCCGAGTACAGGGTCACGGGCTGCGGCTCGGGCCCGGCGCCCAGGCGGTTGACGGCTTGCACCTGCACGTCGTAGGGCGCGTACACCGCCGGCGTCATCACCCGCAGGCTGTGCTCCCGGACCGTCTCCTCCTGCCACTCGGCCGGCGCGCCCTGGGGCCGCCAGGCCACGCGGTACTCCAGGCCCGGGCCGTTCTGCTCCAGGGGCTTCAGGGGCTGCGGGCGGGGGGGGGGGGACGCGTCAGAGACGGACTCGCCGCTGGGCCGGGGGGGCACTGAGGCTGGACGGGCGGGCCACCTCTCCGGGGGCTGGTCCCCTCTTGTGGGGGGCTGGTCCCCTCTTCCCCCGGGGACAGGCTGAGCCTGTCTGTCCTTCCCTCAGTGAGACGGCCCATCCCGCACCCCGTCTCCCCTCAGAACGGCTGTTTCGATGCCTGGATGCCGCCCTTGGGGTCAAGTCTCGCTTTTCATGAGAAAGAATCTACTGACACATTCCACACAGGCGCCAGCCTGCGTCTCCCCTTTCCCCCGCCGCACACCGGCCCCGGGAGGACGTGGCCGTGGGTCCCGTGGCTGTAGGTCCTGTGGCCATGAGTGGGCTTTCCCCTCGCCTTTCACCAGAACCCTCTCCTCCCCCGACCCCAGCCTTCTGCACCTTCTTCCCAAGAGAAAAGCAGAGATTAATCACCATTTCTAGAGACTGTGCAGGTTTATGCCTGAGTACGCAGAAGAGGTAGCCCCGTCAGTAACAGAACCGTGTCCCAGCCCCCGGCTGTTCTGTTACTGTTGCTTTACGAACCTCCCCCAGAACACACTTCGCTTGCTGCACAGGGATGTCTGGGGGTGGCACTTCCAGCACGGGACAGTGGTTACTTCTGTGCGTGTCTTTAACGGAGCCACACTTTCGGCACCACGCACCGCCGTGACCCAGACCACCCTGCTCACTGTGCAAACATGGGAATGTGCCTTTGAATGGATCAGTTGTGCAAAACGCACTGAAGGGAGACTTCGGTCCCAGACCGCAGGGCTCACTCCCACAGCTGGTGACCGTGTCCGGCCCTGTGAGTGACTCGAGAGTGTTGTCACACACGCTCTGCTCCTGCGGAATCTGCGGTTTCTCGACCCCGTCTGATTTACTAAAGTGCTGACCGGAGGCACTGCTTGGAATGGCGTTGAAAACATAGTGTTGTACCAGAGAAATAACTTCAAGTCCACATTTATTCCAAAGAGAATGCTTCCATGAGCGAACAGACAAAAAAAAAAAAAAAAAGAAAAAAAGCAAAGCAAAACAAAACCCCAGGAGGCCCCACAGCCGTGGGTCACACCTGCGTCCGTGGGGAAGTCTCACTGCCCTGGGGTACAGACTCCCCCAGGGCCCGGTGACTCCGGTCCCTCCCTACCCTCCGCAGCCGCACTGTCCTCGGCCCCAGCGCGGCCCCTGGGCACGCGAGCCTTACTCAGCTTGCACACTTGCCAGAGAGCTCCGGCTGGCCTTGGCTGGAGCCCTCTGGCAAACCTGAAAAGGAACCGTGCCGCGTCGGGAACACTTTGAAGAAAGACCGGACGGGCCCGGCCGCCGGCCTCCTTGGCGCGTGAACCCGAGGAGATGGCAGCAACACTTGGCGTGTGGTTTCAGACGACGGCCCACAGAGCCTCGGCGAACACCCCAGTAGGCCTCGCACGGGGTCGGGGGGCCAGGGGCCCCCCTTTTTTATTTAAAGAGAAAAGCCTGTTTCATAGCCGTTAACAGGGACTCAGGGAGTGTCCCAGGCCCAAAGACGCCCGCATCCAAGTGCAGCTGGTGTGGTGACGGGGAGACAGGCCGCCCGCCGGGGCCCCCGTCGCTGACCAGAGCTGAGACGGTGCCGGCCCTGTCCTGAGCCGGCCGGCCCCGGGGTTCGGTGTACGTGTGCGGAAGGGCAGGGCTGCCGGCGGTGCTGACCGCTACTTGGGAGCCATTCTTCGGGCGTCCGTCACGTTGAACAGACCGCACAGCGAACGGAAGGGCAAGGTTAAGGTTTTCAGTGCTGGCCGAACGGGAGAAAACCCGGAACACTGGCTGTGGAAGTGCCCGGGATCCGACACCTCCCGCCACGGAGCACAACTGAACCAGTCTGAGCCTCCTCTCCATTGCTGCCACTGTGAACCTCGAGGATCTCACAACACTGGCGTCCCAGTGACTTCAACACGTGCAAATGAAATGCGGCTATAAAGTGTAACCGTGTCATACGGAAGGTCGAACGCCCTTTTGCTTAAAGATACTGTCCTATCATCACACTTGGGAAACGAATGTGAAAGAGAGAGAAAAAACACACAGAAAAACAGGGGGGAATACGCACCTCCCACTTTATAATCATTTCCTTGGGCTGAGAGGCTTGGACCCTGATGTTCTGCGGATTCTTGTCCGGAGCTGGAAGATCAGAAGCACCGACGTTACTTTTCCCATCGTGTGGCCCACACGCAGATCAGCCCACGGACCCGGCCTCGAGAATACGCTGCAGGAACTCTGACACGTGCACTAACTTCCGTCGGGTTCGGTTCCCGAGAAGAAGTGTGTCAGCGCCCCTGAGACACAATTCTCGTGGAGCGCTGTGCGAGTGTAAGGAGCAAGGGCAACGGTGTCAGGGGAGCGTGTGCACAACTACGGCCGTACGTTTTACACCGTAGGCGTGCACCGCGCAACGACCCCCACAAGACGAGCCGGCGCACCAGCCCCTCCCGTCAGGCAGCTCCAGAATGTTCTATTTACACGAGTGAAGGGGTGTTCCTGAAGTCTCACGGACGACGGTAGATGGTTCGCCCGCACCTGTCTCTGCTTTAAACCTGCTCTTCCAATTTAAAACGTGACTTTTAAAACCATCGTCCTGTGTTTCAGAAGAGGATGCGTTTTCATCTGAACCTGCTTCGCTTCCTCTACCACAGTTGTCATCAGGGATTCAGGTCGTGAGTCCCTGCCCATCAGCCGACGGACGAGACTACACGCCAGGGGCTCACATCCGCAGCCGGGAGCGGCCGGCACCGTGTCCCGGACACACCCACCGAGACCCGTCTGTTTCGTGGGAACGGGCTGAGCAGGAAGGTCAGGGCCAAGGTCAACTGAGATTCAGATCACACACGGATCTGATTCGGTTCAGACTTCTGCTCGCTTTTTCTCAGCCGAAGGGAGCGGCATCCAGCGAATGGGCTTCAGCCGGGAGAACGGGCCCTGTCACAGCCCCACCCACGACCGGGCCCTCTCAGCCACGCACACACCTGAGCACCGCCATCCTTGGGGTCTCAGTGCGAGAGAAGAGGGTGCCCTGGGAGTGTAGGGAGTGGCCGAGAGACCAAAAATGAGCTGGGTGCTCGACATTAATGACGCTCTCGACATGCTGGAAATTCACCAAGCTGCCTCCTCTGCGTCCGAGGTTTATCCCAGAAAGTGGACCCCTGACTCTCTCTCTCTCTCTCTCTCTCTCTCTCTCTCGCCAGAACTCACTTTCTGTCTGATTCCAACCTGACCTTCAGCCACCAGAGGTCACTCCGAGGAACGTTCGCTCCGCCCCTGCCTGCTGATCCCTGCTGTGGGCCCAGCACCTGCCTAATTCTTAAGGACGCTGAGAGGACTTGAAGACGTTGTTCATTCACACAGCATCTCGGGCGCTGCATCGGGGAGATCCGGCGTCCTAGACCGGTTCTTTTCAAAGACAGGGTTGAGGACGGGCAAGACTAGCACGCGGGCTGGATGCCGGGCGGGACAGCCCGCGACCCACCTGCCGGCGGCGTCTCATGGTGGTCGGAGGGCCTGCTGGGGCGGCTCCTGCCCACCTCATTCACGGCGACGACCCTGAACCGGTACCTCACGTAGGGAGCCAGCCGGAGCAGGACCGAGGTCCCCTCCCCGCGGACCGTGGTCAGTGCCGCCCACCTGCCGGGCGCCTCCCTGTCTCCTTCGAACTCCACGACGTACTCTGCGGGGGAGACGGGGCGGGCGGGCGTGCTCACGTTACCGGGGACGCGGACACGGCGCGGAACGTCTCGGAGGCCGTTTGAGGAGGGAGGCCTCCGCCCGCAGGCCCTGTCCCCCGTCCCTACCGGTGACGTTGCTGTTGTGGTCGTCCCCTGCATCCCACGCCAGCCGCACGCTGCGGTTCTGCCGCTCCGACAGGCGCAGGTTCTCCGGGGGGTCCGGGACGTCTGGGGGCAGACAAGGGGTGAGACGTGCAGGCGGCGGCCTCGCGTGCTGACCTCACCCGGGGCCACGGCCAGCTGCCTCCTCCCTGGGCCAGGTCCCCTCCGGGCCGGGTCACAGACGGCGCACCACTCAGGGAGGGGAGCTGCACTCAGGGAGGGGAGATGCGGGGGGGGGGGGGCCCGCAGGCGGTCCCCGAGCTTCCCCCACGGGTGGACGCGGGCAGCTGCCCGCCTGCGTAGTCAGGGTGCGCCCGAGTTCCAATCAGGGTTGTCACTGGAGAACTGAGTGGCAGGCGTCACCTTGCAGAGGACTTGCGGCCCTGTCAGAAGGGTGGGCACCCTTCTGGAGTCCTGGGGGCTCAGCCCCTGCCCCCGGGTCATGGCACGCCCATGAGGCCCAGCCCCCAAGTAGCCCCTCCTCTGCCCACCGAGAGGGGCGGCCCACAGCCCAGGGCTCCGCCGTCTTGGCCTGCAGCACCACCTGCCTGCCAGTGGGCTGGCGCTGGTCCCGTGGAGGGACAGGAAATTAGCATTCATTAGCTTCTTCCAAGGGGGGAGAAAGTGGAGTGGCTCCTTAGCTGAGAAGCTCAAACCAGTAACACATGTGCATCAGGGGCTCAAAGAGCTGTGACCTGAACTTGACCGACAGCGGAGGAGGGCGGGGCGGCTCACCGAGGACCGTCACGTGGGTTCTGTCGGCCACGCTGTCCAGAGTGGTGCGGGCTGTGCAGGCGTACACGCCCTGGTCCTCCGGCGTGACGTTGGAGAGGGTCAGCCGGGCCCCGTCGAGGACCACCCTGCAGGGACGGGGCGGGCGTGTGACGAGGAGGAAACGGCCCACGCCACGGAGGGGACCCTGTCACAGCTGTGTTCCCCCGCGGAAACCCAGCCTCGCCTCACACACGTTTCACTGGGGGACGCCGCGCGGCCGGACGCCGGGATAGAAGTGTCACTCACGCAGGCACGTGTCTGCACGGCCGTGGAAGGGAACGGCTCTGTTCTGCTTCTCACGGCCAAGCCCACCCCTGGGCTCAGTGACGGCCCCCGTGCCCAGGTGTGCCCCAGAGGGGCGCCGGCCCTCCCACAGCTGGCACGGGCCTGGACAACGCCCACACCCAGGACTCGGAGATAGGCGGTCGCTCCCAGCCCTGCAGAGCCAGCGCGCCCCGACGGGTGGGACGCCCCCCCCCCCTCCCCCGTCTGGACCAGCTTCCCCTTCGCCGCCCTCCACGCCCAAGCAGACTGCAAGGTGATGTCTGAACGCCAGGGGGCGTGCCAGCCCGCTCTCTGCAGGGCACCCGCAGGGCGCGGCTGCCCCGCGCTCTGTTCCGACCAGTTTGCAACTGAGTTTGCAACGGAGCTCGCTACGTGAACAGCTTTTGTGTGAACCGTAACTTGGACCACCGCTGTGTGCTGTTAGCGTGACTCTTCAAGTCTCTTTACGTCTGAAGTACACGCACAGCGGTGCGCTGCTTAGCTCAGACACACGGCGCCATCCGTGCGGACAGAGAACCCTTGGAAACGCGGGGTTTTGCTGTGAGACCCCCACGAGCCGCGGAGAAGGCTGAACGTGGACACCGCCTCCCGACGTCCCACCAGTGAGGGGAGACAGCGGGGCCCCCGGTCCCCACCCCAGTGGCCGCTCGGGCTGCCCGTGCCCTCCCCCCAACTCCCGCACTCCCAGTTAGGGCTCTGCCCTCCACGTCCGCGTGGGGGAGCTCCGACGTGAACGCGCTTCCAGGTCACGCGATCCCTGTGCCCACCTGGCACGGACCGGGGCACCGCACACGCCGGCACGTCTGAACAGGCCGCCTTCCCGGGTGAAGGGCTGCACGCCCACCGCCTGCCCCGGCAGGGCTCCGCCCCCGCGCCCTGGCAGAGCTCCGCCCCCGATCCCGGCAGGGCTCCGCCCCCAATCCCGGCAGGGCTCCGCCCCCGACCCCCGGCAGAGCTCCGCCCCCGACTCCGGCAGGGCTCCGCCCCCAACCCCGGCAGGGCTCCGCCCCCACTCCAGCAGGGCTCCGCCCCCGACCCCCGGCAGGGCTCCGCCCCCAACCCCAGCTAAGCCGCACGCAGGAGGGGGGAGTATCGTCTTGGAGCTTCCCAATGCAGCAGGGGCATTCCGGGGTGGGGGGTGGGGGGGTGTCCCCTTCCCCCCAACGCCCTTCACCTCGTCTGGGGCCACTCAGCACCCGCCTGCCCCTGCTCTCCTCCCCACGCCCGCTCCGTGTTTCTGCTGCGCCCGTGCACTGGGCGGGAACAGGCCAGCGCCGGCCAGCAGGACCGGCCTGTCCAGCGGGCCCGGTCCGCACCAGGCTCAGGTCCTGCCAGCGAGACCGACTCGGTGGGCGATGGGGCGAAGGGAGAAGGGCGCCGTCCCCTCGGGCGGGGGCAGCGCAGCGGGCCGTGGGGCGGCGGGGGCTGGGGCAGCTGGGAAAACCGCCCAGGTCTGCGCACGCCGGCAGCGCCCCCGAGGCCGGGTCCCGAGAGCCCAGAGTTCCAGGGATCCGCCCCTTGGGGCTCATCCCCACGGTTCCGTGACCCTGTGGCCGGAACGAGCCTCGGGCACCCGCAGCGACCTCTGTGCGCTGCGAACGGGACGGCCCGCGTGACACAGAAGGTCGGTCACGAAAACCGGGTGAACACGGGGGCCAGGGGTGAGGTAGGGCGCGTCTGCCCTCGGGGGCTGCCTCAGGCCCCTCCGCGCCCGGCCCGTCCCCGCGCAGGCTCGCCGTCACACCTGTCCGCGGCCAGCCCCGCCCACCAGCGCCGCCCACCTGCCGTCCTCCGTGCCGTTGGTCAGCAGCGCGTCCCCGTCTTTGCTCCAGGCCAGCGTCAGACTGGGCGCCAGGTGCGGGTCGCAGCGGCTCTCGCAGCGCAGCTCCAGCGTGCGTGACCGGTGCACGCGCGGGTTCTCGGGGGAGACCCGGACGGCGGTGGCCTCTGCGTTAACGGAACAAGCACACGGGTCAGAATATGCATCCGCGGTTCCACCCGCCCCGGCGGCCGGCAGGACAGCGCCATCTCAGCGGTGCTGCCGCTGCCACCTCGGAACACCACGGGTCACTTCTGCTCTCGTCCATCCGGGCCCGCGCGGCCGACAAAGCCCACGTGCGGAGTGAACCCATGTGCAAAGTGAACGCCAAAGTCAGCGAGCCCCCCGCTTCCCGGGCTCCAGGAGGCCGAGCAAACAGACGCCTCTCGGGGACAGAAAGGGCCTCGCTTCTCCCGCCGGGGCTGGGGCCTGGGTCCCCTGGGCCTGTCCTGCTGCACTGATGCATGTATACAGCAGGCACTCCGGGCACGCTGGTGGGTTGTCTCGTTGAAGGAGTTAGAGGGAGCGATGTTGGGAAGTCAGTCAGTGGGGAGAGGTGACGGGATGGAAAAGCACAGACGGCAGTTGGGGAGCGGTCACGGAAAGCAAAGGACCGCACCGGGAACGCAGCCAGTGACGTGGTGACAGCCTCGGGCGGTGCCGGGCGGGGGCTGGGAACGCCGGGGGCACCTGACTTACGAAGGGCACGGCCGTCTGGCCGCTGTGCCGCCCCCGGAGCTGGTACGATACCGCGTGGGAACTCGAGTTAGAAAGGAAAACAGGTGCAGGAGAAGGGGAGTGAGTGCGGGTGCAGGCCAAGGACATGGGCCGTGAACTGGTCCCCGTGGAGGCTGGGTAGGGGTGAGCAAGACTACACTACACATCCGGAACTCTTCTGAGCAAATTTAAAATGTCAGGTAAACGCTTTAACGATCTTTCTTTCATGTAAATCACTGGGAACCACGCCCTGAGGCTCAAACACGGGCACCGCAGCTTTCCTGGACAGTGTCCGCTTCCTTCGGACCGTTTCCAAGCGCAGAACCCTGCTCTCGAAGGCCACACGGGAGGGACGGGACCTGGCCCGGGAGCTGACCCCGCCCCCCACAGCCCTGTCCTGGCCGTCACCTACGGAACTGACTACGAGGAAGTGCAGACACTTTGGTTACTTGGAAGCCCAGGCCCGGAATGCAGACTGTCCGACTGAATTAACGTGCGGTGAGTTATTGAACACCCTCCTCCTGAGTCCAAGTTCAAAGTCAGAAGCCATTTGACAGTGACAGCTGCTCCCCAACGGCACCTTCTCTGCTCATTGGGACCCTGCTGAGACGGTCACACTGTGACGTCCCACAATCCCGACGGCTCTGTGAACGCCGGTACGCCCGCTTTGCAGAGAAAATAACCGGAGGGTAGCTGGCACCGGAGCTTCCTGCCAGTGAGTGGCTGAGCGAGGACTCGAACCCCAACCTGCGGGAGACCAACGCTCACGCCTGCAACCACTGTGCTTCGTCGCCTCCCGTCCGGCCCCGTCCTTGATGCACCTCCTCTGTGCGCAAGCCCGGCATCCCTAGCCCCGCACGAGTGTGGCCCCTGCACGTCCCTGACACATACGTAAGGTGGACATCAGGCCAGACCAGACTGGCATTCCTGCCCTGGACAGTCTCCCTGGAAGGCTGTGGTGGGAGGTCCCCCTGGGCCGGCGCTGGGGGCGGTGGGGGGGGCCTCACTGGGCAGGAAGGGTCCTGGGAAGTCCAGGCTCCACCCTCTCGGACTTTGAACCTGGCTGACTAGCGCCCCCTGCATGTAATGCATGTAGTCCGGCTTCGTCACCTCGAAAGGGCATTTCATAAAAGTGCATGGGTCGGTGAGAATGCAGACAGACACAGTGAAGGGGACACGGTAAGAGGACATTTAAGTAAAAATGCGGCCCGTGGGGGTGTGGGCTGGGCAACCAAGGGCAGAGAAAGAAACAGCCACAGGAACCCAGGTGAGGCGTGGAGAAGAAATCGAACGGGAGGAGGAGGAAGGGAGGGAGGGAGGAAGTGTGTGCCGTGGGGGGTGGGGGAGAGAGACACGCGAGGTGTCAGGGAGCACAGGCGACAAACGGATGCGTGCCCTGTGACACGCCCCCAAGCCATGTCCTCCCCAGGCGTGGGGTGACACCCTCCCCTTCTTTGGTTTTCCCAGGCAATTTTACAATCGGAACATTGCTGAGGCCCCGGGACGCTCCGCGGCGCCCCAGGACTCGGGCAGACAGGAAGCACCGGGCTGCCTCCGGCTCAGACCGAGGACGAGCCCCCCGCCCGCCGGCCCGTCTCAGGGAGCTGCGCCCTCTAAGGTCACTCCTGACGTGTTTAGCTCAGTGTCGGTAACTCGTGACAGCGGGCTGAGTGGGTCACTGACCTAAAGCAGAGTCACGGAAACACCAGAACAGGACGGGCCGGATGCCCCCGGTCAGCCGGAGCACGCCTCGCCCCACCCCCGCCCCCAGCTCGCAGCCTCTGCGTGAAGACCGCCGCAGGCCCTGTGCCCCCGCGGGGCCGTCTGGACGGAACGTGGTCCAGGGCTGTGCAGACCTGCGGACGGGTGTGAGCCAGCCTCGCACCCCCACCGCCTTCAGGGGGACAACGAAGATGAACCGGACCACAGGGAGAAGTCGCGCACAGCGAGGGCGGCGTGAACGTACCTCGGATGTCCAGGCTGGCCGTGACCGCGGTCTTGCCTTTGGCGTTCTCCACCCAGCACGTGTAGGAGCCGGCGTCCTCCTCAGTGGCCCCGCTGATGCGCAGGGTGCCGTTGTCGTAGACATGGTGCCGCGGCCCCGCCACGGGCCGGAGCTCCTCCACCCTCAGCCTGCGGACGGAGAGGCCACACGGGCCGTGAGGGCGGGCCACACGCCGAGGCCACGCACCCATGTCCCTCCTCCGGGGGCTTGGCCGGCCCTCTGCTATGCTGCCACGGGTCACAGGGGACCATCTGCTCTGCCCCACCGGAGGGGACCTGGAGGACCAGGGTCTGCGCCCGGGGCCTGGGCTCCGCGCCTCTCCGCCAGCAGTGTGGCGGGCGCCTGGGTGCAGAGCGCATCTGTGCGACTCTCCCAGCTCACGGGTGCGGACTCCTCCGCTCGGGTCGGCCAGGGCGCACTGCGCTGGAAAGGGAGGCCTTGAATGCGGTCCCGACCCCTCGGCACCCCCTGATGTGCTGCGGAGGAACAGGGCCCCTGGAGACCTCGCAGGCCCGGGTCCGTCCCGCCCCGTTGGTGGATTCTGCCGGCCCCTGTGCGCCCCGGGTGCTTCCCCTGCGTTCACCCCACCGCCAGGCGTTTGCGGCCACAGCCTGGACGAGTCCCAGTGGGCGGCCGCGGAGCTCAAATGTCACAGGACTCCTGCCATCCCCGCGGGATTTCCCAGGGTGCCAACAAGCCCAGTAATCAAGAATGACAGTATTTTAAATGGGGGGGGGGTCCTTATTTATTTACTCATTACGAAGTAAAGCCCAAAAGAGTCGAAAAGACAGCCTGACTCGGCCGAGCCCGGGAAGCCCGCCGGCAGCCACCGCCTTTGCACGCCCCCCTCCCCAAGGAGAGAGCGAGCCCCCGGGTGTTTCACCACTGCAAGTCGGCCCCGGGGAGGGACACCCGGTCTGGGTGGAGGATCCTGGCCGGTCTGGGGCGGAGGAGCCTGGGCCCCACCGGGAGCACGAGGGGCGGTCTCGCCCCTCAGGCCGGGCCCTCGGCGGTGACGCGGGTCACCCACGTACCCGCTGCGTCACTGCGGGCGGATCGCTCGACCTCTAAAGGCCTCAGTGACTTCCGGAGGGCGTTTAAAAACCAGAACCAACGCAGTAAAACTCCACGGGGAGCGCCATCCCCGCAGGTTACAGGAAGACAGGCTCCGCCCCCGCACGTGAGTGCCCGCCCCTCAGAGCCGCGGGAACGACCGAGGAGCACGTGAACCCCCACGCGTGTCTCCTGAAGCTGAAAACACGCCAGGCCCACCGCTCTGGGCCTGTCTGCACGTGCTGGAGAAGTTTTGCACGCGTGTTTGGCACGAGACGCGGGCTCAGGTAGTCATTGCCACGTTCTCTGAAACAAGTCACCGGGGACGGCTCGACCTTGGACGCACCCGGAGGGACACTCAGCTCTATCTTTACGCCCGTTTCCGTAACTTCTTCAGTCCTCGGCTTCCCTGTGCGGGCAGAAGCGGCTCTCCGCATTCCCCGTGTGGGCGCGCCCCCCCGGGGTGGCCCCAGCCTGACGGAAGCAGGCGGCCCTGGGGGGGCGGACGGAGGGGCCCAGGAAGCCCCGCGCTGCTGACTGCTCTGGGGGGCTGGGGGGCAGGGCGCGTGCCCGCTTACCAGGACACCACCGCCTGCGGCGAGGCGAAGAAGTCGCAGAGCAGGGACACGCTGGACCCGACCACCGCGGCGTAGGCTTCTCCGTCGTCGGTTTGTATCAGCGGAGGGATATCTGTGTGAAAATCGCGGGAGAAATAACACGTGCAGATCAGCACCCTCTTCCTGCAGCCACGTTCGTGTCGCGGGGACAGAAAGCCGCCGAGCGCTCGCGGCTGCTCTGCAGCGAGCAGCGCGCCCGAACGCAGCGCGCGCCGGGAAAGCCGGGGTGGGGCGCCAGGTCCGGGGCCTGAACGTGAGATGAACGGGGGGGGGGGGCGGGGAGGGGGGCCTGCCCGGGGCGCTCACCGACCACGTCCACGTTGGCGGTGGCCAGGATGGTGCCGTGCGCGTTGGCGGCCTCGCACTGGTACACGGCGGAGTGGTTGGGCTGCAGGTTGGTGAAGCTCACCTCCCCGGGGAAGACCACGTCGCCCGCAAACGGGTTCTCTGCGGGAGGTTCACGGGCGTCGGTTCGATTTAAAACCATTTTTTTGAAAAGGACCCAAAACATTTCAAGAGCGTTGACTGAAGGCGTCCCACGGGATTCACATTTTGAGAGCAGTTCAGGGTGACTCGCATGTAGTTCCCTGCGTCGAACTCCTTAGCATCTCCTAACGTCCACTGTGACTGTACTTCTGCCGCCTCAGCGTCCCGCACGTTGGTGCGGATACCCCACGCCCCCAGCACCTCAGCTCCCTGCTTCTGCACCCCCACGCCCAGCGCGGAGGCCGCGGCGAGCCCCACTCTGAACCGAGGCCCCGCCCCTGGTCCGAGCAGGTCCACCCAGCACAGGGCCGCTGGCACCCCCTGGCGGCCGTTCCTGTCTCCCCCTCCTGCGTCCGTCCCTCTGACGCGCAGCGCGCCTGCAGGGTCCTGTCCGCGGTCCGACCGCTTGGGGGCGCAGCTCTCAGATTTCACTGGCCCTCCTCCAGGGGCTCAGAAAACAGGCCCAGCTGCCCGCTCTGTGGCAACGATCCCACCTCACCCCCCGACCCAAGCACAATTCTGGGAATGTGCTCTGGACGCAGCAGCATTTGACACTCCCGGTGCATTTCTTAGGGACCAAAGACAGCTGTGGACGTGACACAGGTGATGTCTCGGAACCCGCGGGCTCCGCTCTGACACGGCCGCCGTGTCAGCGAGCAGACGGTGTCGGCAAGGATGGGTGACCCAGCCCGGCCTGGAGTCTGGCACCGTGCCCGCGGCCCTGGCTGTGACAGTGCACACCAGCTGCGCAGAGGAAAACGCCTTGGCTGGGGTGTCGGGTGAGGGGCAAAGATGCTGAGATTTCAGTTTCAATGACGTTACAAGGTCGCCCATCAGCCTGTTTTCGTGCATCTCGCTGTGTCTCCGTCACAGGAAATAGTGCTGATGCTAAGTCCTGGGTTGCAGGAACCCGACTGCTACGCGTCTGAGTGGAACGTTTTCCTCGTACGGCTCTTCCCCTCCGAGAGCGGGGGGAGGAACGGGTTACACCGGACTGGGGGCTCCGTGGGGCCCGGGCCCTGTCTGTGGGCTGCGCACCGTGTCCCCAGCACACAGACGGCCGCTGTCACAGAGGGGCAGCCAGCCAGAACTTCGGGGTGCCTGGGGAACATGGACGCTGGGTGCGTCTTACTCCCGGGAGGGCCCTGCAGGAGGCAGAAGGACAGGGCCCCAGAGGTCATCCACACTCGCATCCTGACAACATGCAAACGTGTCACTGAACACGGCTGAAGGGACTTTACAGACGGCACACGGGTGAAGGACTGTGGCATGGGGAGACTGTCTGGGGTCGTCCAGTCACCCAGGCCAGCCCAGTGCAAGTCCCAGGCTCCTGGGAGTCAGGGCGCCTCTCCCGGCGGTGATGGGCCAGGGGAGAGGGCACCTCGGGGGCGAGTCACAGAGCAGAGGCCACAGCGTGGCAGGATCTGAAGAAGGAGGGAGGGAGCCAGGACCCAGGACCCAGGACCCAGGAGTGGGCCTCCTCCCGCAGGTGAGGGCACAGGAAGGGGGTTCTCTCCCTCCAGGACCCCCCAGAAAGGGGTGCCGCACCGCTGACTCCTGGACTTGGCCCAGGGCAGCTGGGCCGCAGGGCTGACAGATGATGGACGCACCTGGGTGCATTCACAGACCCTGGGGGCGCCGGTCACAGCAGCAACGGGAAACCAGGGTGGCCCTGCAGGACCACTGACCACATGTCTGGGGGCTGGGCAGGCGGGGAGCTCCTCCCTGCACTTCCCGCCAAGCTCTTCCGGATGCCGTGACCCCATGTCCGACCCCGCCCTTCGCACCTTGACTGCTGCGGCCTCTGGCAACCTCTTGAGACAGAGCCCGGCCCCTGAGCCCTCCGCCCCAGGGCTGCCCTCCGCCCCGGGGCTGCGCCCACACGGGATCACGGAAGGAACGCGGGACCAGGGCCTCAAGCCTGGGATGCAGCACAGCCGCCCACGCTCAGAGCCGGCGTCTGGGCCGGGGCGCCAGCGGCCGGGGACCGCTGCCCCCAGACGGCCCGGTCCCCGGAGGCCAGGCTCGCCGTCGGCGCGGAGCGAAGCACCCGTCGTCCCCGGCGGGGAGCGAGCCGCGTCGTGGGAGAAACGTCTGCCCGGACTCAGCAGCTCCCGGGGGCTGCTGGCCCTGCACCCCGCCGGGCTTGTCAGGAATATCATCGGATACAAAACGCGCGGTAACAGTTAGGCCTACGGTGGCGATTTGGATGCGGTAGAACGGGATTCAGAAAGGAGATGGAGTTCTAGGAGCTCAGAGATCTCCGGTCCTGGGTCATCAGCCCACCCTCGCTCAGCGCCGGGACTGTGGGCCAGTCCCGGGACCTGCGGCCGGCACCGGGTGGCGGGGGCCTGGGCCTGCCCTCCAAGGCCCAGGCTGGGTGCGCTATGGGCCCTGCAACTGCCGTCAGCCCGGACCCTGCTCCCTGCGCAGACCTGCTCCACGAAGACACCTGCCCACGCCCCTCCCGGAGAGCCCCGCTCCCCCGGGAAAGCCCCTCCCCTCCCGGACAGCCGCGCCCCCGCAGCCCCGCGCCCAGCAAGGGCACTGACCTTCGATGGGCAAGCCGTTGACTCGCCACCGGATGGTGGGCTTGGGCTCTCCTTCCGCCTCGCACAGCAGGATGACACTGGTCCCCGTGCTGTACACGCCGCTCTGGGGCTTCTTCACCCAGCGCGGGGGCTCTGGGGACACAGGCAAAGGGGGCCGTCAGGGGGGTCGCCCGGGCTGCCAGGCCCGCGAACGTCACGGCCTGCGCTTCCGAGACGCTCCAGCAGGTGGCGGACACGCAGGGCTTCCCGGCAGAGTGCAGAGAGTGCCGCAAGGCCGTGCGCTTGTGCGAGTGTGCATGCGTGCTAGCGTAGTTAGAGTGTGCACGCACCCGAGTGCATGCACAAATGTGTGCGTGGGTGCGAGCGTGCGTGCGGGCACACGCGTGTGTCCATGCGTTCTCCCTTGGACTCCGAGCAGGGATGGGAAATTCAGCGTGCTCAGCCGTCCGGGGTCCCTGCTCAGCGGCAGGGGCACCTGTCTGTCCCCGGGCCGGGAAACGCGGGGGCAGGGGCACGTGTGTCTGGCGCTGGCCACGCTCACGTGCGTGCAGCAGCAGGGATTTAAGACGGCTGCTGTTAAAGACGTTTTTGAATAAAACCACAGTGCTCAGCACTTCCTTCACTTCTGTGTCTGCTTATCTGGGAAAGAGCCTGAGGAGCGTCCTCTCCCGCAGAGCTCTCCGTGAAAGGCGCAGGAAGCCCTTTAAAAGCCAGGGTTCCGCTCCGCCCGCCCAGCGCAGCAGGAAGAGACACACCACGGACACGACCTGCAGCTCCCGGCGCCAGATGCAGCCGTGCCGCCGCCCCAAGGGCGCCCCCGGGCGGCGGAATGAGACCCTGTCTCCAGCGCAGACACCTCGGCCACGTTCTGTCACCTGAAGAGCACGGCCGGGCGGCCGGGAGCGAGCTGAAGATTTAGACTAGAGTGTGAATGGCTTGAGCAATCTGATTTCCTAGAGCACTGCACAATCCCTGCAGGGACTAACTCCCGTCCAGTGCCGCTGGCTTATTCCCCCCCTGCCCCCGGGACGTTCGGATTTCCATTTTAGTTAAAAACCGTAAGTCTCTAAAGCACGTGGATACGAAGAATGGAAAGTGTCATTTAAGCACTGTTTCAAAGCCAAGGAGGGGAAAAGGGTTACTGGAAAAACGTCCTCTGAGAGTTCGCTTCCTGGCCGCTGTCGTCAGTTTGGCTCAAATACACGCGGAGATGTCCTCCACCGACTTGGGTACGTCTTGTATTGGCATGACGCATGTGTGTATAATGAACGCGCGAGGCCGTGCATGTGCACGTGTGTGCCGTGCACTCCTGCACACAGCCGCTGCCGCTCTGTCACTAAACAAGCAGAGCCACAACCTCGGACGCCTGCGGAGAGGAGCTGCGAACCCCCAGCGACCCTCCTGCTGTCCCGCTCCCGCAGGGGGCAGGCCCTGGAAACGCAGTGGCCCCCAGAGCCGGCGGCTGCGGCTGCTAGCGCTGTGCTCGGCGGTGCGGGGCCGCAGGGGGGGCGCGGCGGCGGAGGGCGCGAGCACCGCAGGACGCATGCGCGGCCGCGGCACAATGGGCCTTTGAGAAGGGCTCGGTGCTGGGCGCTCGCGGCGGCCCCCCTCCCGGACCCCGGCGCTTCGGCGCGAGTTTCCGAGCAGGAGACAAAAGGGGGGAAAGGGGAAGGCCCGGGGAGGCCGGAGAGAAGTGAATGGAAGCGCGCGGGTGCGCCCGAGTGATGGATGACCGCTGTGCGTTCTCCGCCTCCTCCCGCGGACAAGGCCCAGGCTCCGTGGGGCCGGTGCGCTCCTCGCGGGCCTGGGGAGGGGCGGCTCCCGGGCCCGGTCAGCGCCTTCCCGTTAGGGGGGAAGGATTAACTGCTCCCAGTAAAAACAGTATTTGCATCTCAATGGCGCTAATCGCTGCCCCGTGAATAGCGGGGACAATTTGCCCAGGAAACCTGTGTTCCTTTGGAGTCCTACAGCCACATTTCAGACCGAATAATGGGTTTTACATCCTTGACTTTTTTTTTATTTTTTTGCAACCCTTGCAATTCGTTTGAAAGCTGGCCCTGCAGTCGAGAAGCCGTGGCCAGATTGTTAAAATATTCCGCTCGGCGGCGCGGCCCCAGCCATCTGGAAGGGTTTCCAGGAGTCAGCAACTCGTCGCCGGAGCAGCCCGCCACCGGAGGGCCTGGCTCCCGGGCCGTGTTTGTGCTGGGGCGGCGCCCGGCCTGGCCGCACTCGGCGGTCATGGACGGTGACCACAAATGCAGGCCCCGTGCCCTCTCCAGCCCTTGCTGTCCGAGCTCCTCTGCGACTGCCGGGCGGACGTCCCGGGAACCAGCCCCTCTCGGCGCGCACAGTGGGCTTCCTCCCGTCTGGCTTTGCTGTCGCTGCCCACGGAACGTGTCGCCCCCTCACCCCTGCCCCCCCCTTCAGTTCCTCCAACGCTCCACCTGCGGGAGGGGTGTGACCCAGCAGTGCTCGCCGGGGTTGGCGGTGTGTCTGAGTCTTCATTCCTCCCACTAACTGAGACAGGGGGCCTTCACCCGGGAGTTCCCTGTGCAAACGGGAGCTGTAGAGGTGAACTTGACCGGAATGTGGACGGAAGCCCCAGAGCGCCAGTCCCCCAGTGGAACCCCGACCGGGACAGTTCCCTTCCACACCAAGAAGACCACACGGCCTGCAGAGTGCGACGAACCAGGCATCACCCCAGGACGTGGCTGGTACAGCCAACTGCACCTCGTGTGGGACCTCGGTGCGATCAGCCCCAGGGGCACGGTCCGCACCCATCGAGCTCCCTGAGGACAAGGGGCCCTGACCTCCGCCCCCTCCCCTCTGCGGCCCCAAAAACCGCCGCCGCAGCACTGTGGACCGAAGGCATATGTTCACGGGGAGAGGGCCTCCGTGTCCTCTGCATTTATCTGCACCTTCCAGAGGCAGGTGGCGTCACTGCCCATGACCCACCCAGTGCAGGTCACCTGCCCCCAGCTGTGGGCAGCAGAGGACGGACAGACAGGTGCCCAGGGGAAGAGCCCAGACAGCGCCTTGTCTGCCCACTCGTTCCACCGGGGCAGACGCCGCGGTGTGGACGGCGGCCTGAGGCCGCAGCACGCTGAGGGCAGACGGGAGCGCAGCCCCCACTTTGCTCCTGCATGGCGATGCGTCCTTCCGTGGCGAAGCTCGCCTCTTTCGTGACAGGACCCAGTGCGGGGCTGCGGGCGCGCACGACGGGGGTCCGTCTTCACGGGCTGACTGACGCGGGGACCAGGTCCAACCGCTGTCTGAACACGCCCGGAAACCCCCGCGCTGGGTCCCGCGTGTGCGGTCTCCCTCGTCACCGGTCCCCGCCTCCGCGGCTCTGCGGGGTGGCTCACAGACCCTCGGCAGCGGGACGCGCAGGGCCCGCTCGCCAGCCAGAGCGGGGAGAGCTCACCCGTGCTCTCACGCGTGCTCTGCAGTGTGGGTGCACTGCGTGTGCGCGTGCGACTCCACGCAGCTGTCACGCGGGGGACACAGGTCGGCGTGGGCGGCGCGCGTACCTTCGACCGTGACGTGGAAGTCGTGCGTGGCCGCCCCCAGGGGGTTGGTGGCCGTGCAGCGGTAGCGCCCCCGGTCCTCGTAGGAGACCTTCTCTACCTTCAGCACCTTGCCGTGGCCTTCTCTGGTCTCCCTTCCTCTGGGCAAGTCACCGCCCATCTTCTCCCACTCGATCTGCGGGGTCGGTCTGGGAAACAATAAGTAAACCATAAACATCTTTTAAAATAAAACGGGAAGGACCCTGTGGGATGGACCTTGTATCACGTGGCTTTGCTGCGTCCCGGCACGGCCCTGCCCACCGCCGCCGTGGCCGTGGGCCGGCTCAGGTCTGCGCCATCGCCACCTCCTTCGGCCGCACCCCCCTCCAGACCCTCCCTCTTCTGTCCGCAGGGCGTGCGTGCGGGACACTCGGGGGCAGCCCGATGGAGGACAGACACACAGAAGCTCCCCGGGGTTTGTTTCCAGTGTGCGGCCTCCCTGGGGGTGATCTGAGGTGGCCGGAAGTAACCGCCCCTCCCCTGTGTGCGGCCGGAAGGCAGGGCGGCGGAGAACCCGCTGTCAGCCGGGGGCGGCGGCCCTGGGGCCCCTCTGCCCCCACGGGAGCCGATTCTCCAGCGTGGGGCTCGGAGCCGAGAGCCCAGTGGTGGCCAGCCGGTGGGGGGAGGAGCCGGGCGGACAGGCCCGGGAGGAGGGGACCCCCCGTGTCCTGACGGGGAAAGGCGAGATGTCGCAGCCAAAACACACACCCGCGGAAAAGCAGAAACGAAACAACCCGAGCCAAGGAGCTGTCACTCTCCGCGAGGGGCGGGTCTCTCTCTCCTGCTCCCTAAGGGGACGGGGGTGGGGGTGCAGCCAGACACGCAGGCAGCAGCGCCCGATGGCTCTCGCGAAGGAGAAGTCACGGGAGAGCCACGTGGGCCGAGAGCGGGACCGGCGGCCTGTCCTCTGCCCCCTGCGGCCTGGCCGACAGCACGGAGGGAAGGAACCCCTTCTGGCTGCTTTGATCGATGCTGCTTTTTGTCCCTCACTATATTCTTTTTGTTATCGACAAAAAAAAATCCAAAAACGTGAACAGGTATTGAGCAGGTTCTGAAGATGGGGCTTATTATAATCCTTTCCCCACGAGGCTCCGAGAAGTTAACTCGTGGTGGTCTCTGGGGGGCCGGGGGGGGGCAGGTGGCGCCTCAGAACCTGACCTTGGCTCCCAGGGTGCCCTTTCTGTCACCGAGAACCGTGGTGTTCCTTGGGCTCCGGCCGGCCCTTTCCCGTCCCTGATAGTGTATTCTTGGACTACGGGCATGTAGCCAAATCAGTCAGTGATCGGTTCATAACGGCACTGCCTACTGTTGTTCGGCCGATCGGCCCAGGTGGCCCTGACAGGCGATGGCCAGGACAGTCACTGGGATGCCCACGGCCGCTACAGGTGCCACGAGGAGAACTTCCCACCCGCCCACGCCTGAGCCCCCCCGCCCCGCGGGCGAGCGCGTCCTGCCCTCAGAGCGGAACCGCGGCTGGTGGACCTGCCGAGAGCACGCGGCAGACGGGTGGGCGGGCAGGCGGGCGGGCTTCCTGAGCTGACACTGAACAGGTGCTTCCCCGGAGCCCGCGGCCGGCCGGCTGGTCGCCCGTCTGCCCACGCGGCAGCGTGCCAGGCCGCAGGCTGCTCTGCACCCCCCCGGCCACCCCCCCCCCCACGCCGGGATTTCGGGAGCCGGCACTTTCTCGGGGCTGGCGTTCGCTCTCTGCAGGGGCTTTGTCTGTTTGGTTTGGGTTTTGCCAGTCGTTGAGAATCAGTCTAATCCTCTAAAACCCGCCCCCTGGACGAGGGGGAAAGAGTGGCTATACCTATCAGTGACCGTACAACGTAACTTCTCCAGGGGCATGTAGCTACACTACCGCAAGCAGGTTCAGCTCCATCCTTGCCAAGTTTTTTCTTTGTTCTTTCCTATTTCATTTGAGGAAGGCTCACGAACAGTGTTTGAGCACCGAAGGGCCGAAGAAAACTGTCTTGCTCAGCCCGTGTGGATGCGCGAACACACACTCGGTGCAAAGCTCGGGTTCTGCACAGGCCCCTGCCCAGCCCGGGTCGCTCTCCCCCTCTGTCTGCAGGGCGGCCTCCGCCAGGGGCGCTGTGCCCCCACCTACGCCTGCGACTCCGCAAAGCAGAGGGGCGGGGCGGGCAGGCACCCTCAGGCCGCCAGCCCGCGGAGGGGAGCTGCAGCGTCCCTTCCACCTGACACGCACCCGGTGGGAGCGGGAGTGCGCAGGCACCCGGGCGCGAGCAGTGTGAGTGGGTGTGCAGAGTGCGAGTGTGTGTGTGGGCAGCAGGTGTGGGCAGCGGGTGTGAGCAGTGGGTGTGAGCAGTGGGCGTGCACAGTGGGAGTGTGTGTGAGCAGCGGGTGTGAGCAGTGTGTGTGAGCAGCAGGTGTGAGCAGCAGGTGTTAGCAGTAGGAGTGTGTGTGAGCAGTGGGTGTGCACAGTGGGAGTATGTGTGAGCAGTAGGTGTGAGCAGTAGGTGTGAGCAGTGGGAGTGTGTGTGAGCATCAGGTGTGAGCAGCAGGTGTGAGCAGCAGGTGTGAGTAGCGGGTATGCGCTGTGGGAGAACTACAGCCCGCCGGTGGGAGGGAGACCAGGCACCCGGGGGAGAGGCCCCAGGCCTGGCCTGCACGGGGGGCGGGGGGGGGAGGGGGGCAGGTGGCTGCGGCCTCGGGCTCCGGGCAGGGCACCCAGCGACTCAGCTCGGGGGACGCTGCCCTCGCCGCCTCTGTTCACGTCGCCATCACAGGCGGGCAGAGCGACCGAACTGTAACCAGGCTCTGTCCTGGCTGAACCGGGGGGGTCAGGGGGAAGCCACAGCCCCGGAGGTGGGGTGACCCCCCGGGAGGGGGCGGGCGAGGCAGAGATGTCGGCCGTGCGTGCGTGCAGCACAGGCGTCTCCCTGCGCACGCCGTGGCGGGGACGGTCGGGGGGGGGGGGCGGCCACTCACAGGCCCTCGGCGAAGCACTCCAGCAGCAGCGTGTCCCCGCGCAGGACGGTGACCGGGTGCTCGGGGCCCCTCTCGGCATCCGGCGGCAGCAGCAGCTTGGGCTCCCTCTGCTTGATCGAGTTCGCTAAACGGAAGAGAAGTCTCCGGTTTCCCTCCAGCCCAGGGCCCAGTGCCCGTGCCACCGAAACGCAGGTGGCCCTGCACCCCCCACAGAGACGCGGGCTCGCCCCTCCTCCGAACACGGGGCCGCGGACACACACGGGCTCCCTCTGGGCCTGAGGCTCGGGGGGCTGCAAGCGAGGGGCCGAGGAAGCCGGTCACCGCCACGCCTTGAGGGGCAGGGGAGGACTCGGGGCAACCAGTCCTGTGGCGGAGGCCGTTCCGCGAGCCAAGGCCGTATGTGACTCCACGTCCTCACGGCCGCCCTGTCGGCCCCGCTCGCGGGCTCTGTGTGTGTTTGTCTCTCGCTGGACGTGCCCGGGTGCCGCCGAGGGCCCTGCTACCCTGCAGCCTCGGGGGCCTGCCCGAGGGACCCTCACTCGGGACGCCCGTGGGGGACACTGGGCGCCCGTGAACTCGCCACACTCCTCGTGTGACGCCGGTGTCTCCGGGCTCTGAGGGACACAAGCTGGACAGGCCTGTGGCGACCTCGCTGACCACACACAGGGAAGTGTCCCTTGGGTGATCTAAGGAAACTTCCCCAGGAATGCTTTCCGAATACAGTGGCAAGTGAGGGGCCCCCATGCTCCACGCTCCTCTGGACGGTGTTTCCACACTGTCCTCAGCGTGGGGGGCCGGGCTGGGGGGGGGCCGGGCTGGCGGGGCACCAGCCGGAGCCTCCTCTCAGGTGTGCCTCCGACGACGGCTATCAACACCGCCGTTCAGTTGCAGTCAGAGAGTTCACGTTACATATCAGTTACGTGAATGTCCGTGCCAACGCAAATATAAATCCTATCTGTGTGCTCACGTGTCAGCAAGAGCAGCACTAAAACAGGTGTGTCTCTGGTGTGCGGTGAAGGTGTCATGTCCACATCGGAGTTGTGGACATCAAAGACTGTGGTGACCCCAGGCGGCGCCCCTGGCCCCGCTGACACTGCAGGAGATGCTCGAACTAGGCCACTGGCCCCGGTGACGTAGAGGCCACCGGCCACACACATACACGTGGCCCCTGGAGTTACGGAAACGAGCTCACCGAGGACCACTCGGGCTTACTCCGGCAACGTCCGCAGAACACTAGCTCTGGTGCAGACGAAAGTGTCCCCCCCCCCGGCTTAGGAAGAAACAGAAAATACCTCACGGGCAAGACAGGCTGGGAAATGCTCAGGCCCCTGGCGGCAGGCAGGCCCGTGTGACCCGTCCCGGGAAGCCCCGCGGGAAAAACCTTTTCGCTTTCGCAAACGTGGTTTCCTTTCTGCACACGACAGCTGCCAGCCAGGTGTCCGCTGGCCAGGAGGGACCCCCGGGGAGACTCGGAATAACCGCTCCGCTAAAACGATGCACGTCTACATGCGGTGGTGCGTGTCTGTGCGTGTGAACCACACTATGCACGCACACGTGGTTGTCTTTACACAGTCGTGCATTTGTGAGCGTCACCCTTTTGCATATATGGAAGGTGGTGTGACAGACGGCTGGATGCTGAGAGGTCCCCCCTGACGTGAACTCTGGTACCCTAACAGACGCACGACGGTATCGGAGGGAAAACCCACACTCGGAGACGACAGTGAGCTCCCACGGCCGGCACCAAGGCCAGCACACTACCCACGGTCCACTTACCCTCAGAACCAGTTTCTGTGGATGGGCCCGAGGAGTTACGCTTTACTGAAATGAAAAAAATGGAAGAAAAAAAAAACTCACAAACACAATGGTGGATGTGGACACCAACAGAGAATGAGGAGTCACAGTGCTGTCCCGGAAACGTCACAAGATGAGGTGTGACCCGGCTTCGCTAGAACGTGCTCTCGAGGGAAGCCGTGGGAACGAGTGTTCGCACGCAGCCCCGCCCCGCACCACCGCCGCAGACGGTGGGCCCCGGTGCGGAGGGTGCGGAGGTCACCTCCAGGGAAGGGAGCCGCGGCCGCCCCGGCTGCCTGCCGCAGGGAAGCCCTGGCGGGGTGAGTCTCGTGTACCGGTGAGAAAGTCGCCGCCCAGGCGGACAAGGGCGCGCCCACGCCGACAGCGGCCCCAGTGGCACCAAGCACCTCACCTTGCGAGTCTGTGGTTCTTCCACCCCGCCCCCCACCATGGGGATGTGCTCCCACGCGGGCACCCAGGCCCGAGGAGGGAGAGAAGCGATTCAAATGACTCGGTCTACTTGGGAAAGAAGGAAAGCTTGGCGTGAGAGAAATTGTGATACTGCTCCTTTGGCCCCGGCTGGTGTGGCTCAGCGGATGGAGCACCGGCCTGCGAACCAAAGGGTCACCGGTTCGATTCCCAGTCAGGGCACATGCGGGCGTTGCGGCCCAGGTCCCCAGTAGGGGGCGCACGAGAGGGGCACACACTGAAGTTTCTCTCCTTCTCTTTCTCCTTCTCTTCCTCTCTCTGTCTCCACAGGAGTGAATTGTGCCCTAGCTGCGCTCAGAAGGGAGTTTGGTTTTCTGGCTGGGAGCAAGGGGGCCCCACAGAGCTGTGAGGGCCGGCGTCTTGCACCAGGGCGGCGGCGTCTCTGCCGCTGAACTGGACGTGGAGGAAAACGTGGCCCGGCTCCCGCCGGCCCCAGCAGGGAGGAGGTCACAGACACGACGCGTGTGCCCGGCAGCCGCGGCGGAAGGGGCACCGGCTGTACTCACAGCTGCTGACCGTCAGCTTCATGGGCATCTTCTGCACGATGGTCCGCAGCCTGGGGAAGGCGGCGAAGCAGCAGTAGTCGCTGCGGCTGTCCCTCTCCTCCACGTTGGCGAAGTACAGGTCCCCCTCCTGGCTCATGTGCACCCGCTCGTCCTGCTCGATGTGCTCCAGCTCTGGGGGGGAGCGGCTGTCGTCAGGGGTGGGGGGGGGGGGGGGCGGCGGCCCTCGGCCTGGCCGGGCGTCTCGGCTGCTCTGAGCACCGGCCCCCCCACCCCGAGGCTGCGGGTCCGCTCCCCGGTCAGGGCGCGCGCACACACACACACACACACACACACACACACGAGTCAGCAGTGAGCAAGGCACCGCCACCATGGGGGCCCACAGACCAGTGTTCCTCTCTTCCTTCCTCTCTTCCTTCTCCCCCCTCTCTCTCTCTTTCTCTCAAACCCGTAGCTGAAAACTGAAAGGGGTGGGGGGGGACACAGTGCTTCACTGTTTCCCGTCTTCCGTTTACGGCTTCTCTCCTTCTCCGGCCTCAGCACGGGAGCCGTGCGTGAGCAGGAAGAATGAGAAGACGACAGGCCCCCCAGGAGCCCGCTCTTCCCCGGGACCCGAATGTGCACATGCACCCCGCCCCCGGGCCCCCGAGTCTGCTCGGGGGTGCACCGGGCGTGTCGGAACACGGGTCCGACTCAGACTCAGACAACGGCCTCGTGACCGCTGCTCCCTTCTTAGGGGGACAATGCTTCAAAGGGGTCTCCCCGATGCCGTCTCTGAGAAAGGGACCCCTCTTTCCTGGACGCGGCCGAGAGCGCCCAGGGGCGACGGCACCCGGCTGTCTGGCTGCAGCCGAGAGGCGCTTCCTGAGCTTCCTGCGAGCGCTGCACCAACGTCCCCGTTCTCCCCGCGGCCCCAGGAGAGAGAACATTCAGAGACGCTGGGAAGACACGTCCCAGACGTGGGCTCTGCCGGATGCTGGGACGCCAACTCGAGAGCTAGCGAACGCTCCGGAAAACCAACCGCAAGGCTAACGCCAGCTTCCCTGCAGGTCCCTGCACGCCGGGGGGAGGGGGGTGAGCCTGGCTGAACCGGGAACACGGTGCCGCTGGCAGCAGACCGGCGAGCCCGCGCTGAGCGGCCCCCTCCCGGAGGTGGGAGGGTGGTCTGGGCACAGACCACCACATTCTGCATGGAAACAAGCGCATCACCAGCCTCTGCTCTCCCCCGTGGGGCCACACCACGCAGGGACACGGTGAGTGGCTCCCAGCGCGTCCACAGACACACGGCGGGGCGGGGGGGCACGCTTCAAACCCGGGGCAGACTGCAGGTGGGCTGAGTCCCCCAGACAGGGCGGCCGTGGCGGCCCTGCGTCTCCCGGGCCAGGCACTCGGCGCGGGGGCGGGCGGGACTCACCGATGTTCATCCAGTAGATGTGCAGTGGGGGCAGGCCGGCGGGGGGCTTGCAGCGCAGCACGACCGAGTCCCCCTCCTCCACCTCCAGGGGCTCGATCTTCTCCTTAGGGAACTTGGGGACGTCTGCAGAGGAAGCCATTGGAAGGAAGGCACTACGTCAGAACTACCGCCCAAGGGCACGAGCGACATCTTAACGCGTCTTCTCTGGAAAGATCAGAGACATTGTGGCAAGCTCGACACCCCCAGCCCTGGGTCTCATCTCTCCCCTGTGGGGAGGGGTGGGGGGGCACCCCCCACGGGTTCAAGGACACTCGGGCACCAGGGAACCCAAGGTGGGAACCCACTGGGATGTCGTCACCGCCACACGCGCTCCTGCCTGCCTTTCTGCTCAGGGGACTGTCAGCTCCAGGTCCCAACGCCAGCGCTGACTGCGTACTTTCATGGATGATTTTTGCACGGCAGCTTCAAGAACGCGCAAAATGCCTGTGCCCTCGGAGTCGCCCCGGCCCCGCGGAGGAGCAGGGCCCCGGAAGGCACTCGCTCCTTCCCAGGGAAGGGACGGGGCTCCCCGGGCAGAATGCACGGGTGTCCCATCACCGGAGCCCCGGCTTCCGCCGCGGCTCGGGGAAGACCCTGTCGCTCCCAGACGCCCGCAGACGTGCTCCCGTCCGTCCGGCTCCTCCCCCGCAAGCAGCCCCCGCATGTCCTGCCCGGGAAGCTGCTGCCACCTCCTGCTGGTGCACCAGCTGGCCGCACCGAGTGGCTTTTTGTCCAAAATCAAGGGCCCTTCAGAGACTGGTGTGGCAGGGCGCAGGGCGGTCCTCACAGCGCCGGGCCAGGTGGGCTGGGGCTGGCTTCTGTCACGGGAGGGTCCCTGCTGGCTCCAAATCCCCCCCCCCCCGGCCCCCTGTCACCCCTTTCCAGCATGTTCTCCCAGCAGGTCTGGAAGCGCACCTGGGACAGCCGCCAGCTGGGGGGCCATGCGGTGCCCACGGAGAGGCAGAAAGCCTGATCCCCATGCACGTCCACCGGGCTCGGGTCCCCAGGTGAACAGCAGCGCCGCCCACCTGCCGCCCGGTCTCGGCCCTGACCCAGAGCCACCTCCCCGCACCCGAACCACTGCACAGGGAGCCCGCCGCAGGCTGGGACGCGCGGCGGCTCACACGCCGGCCCCACCCGAAGCCCCAGGCTCTCACCCCTCGTTTCGTGTGACGGCTTCCCCTGACACCCAGGGCGCACTGGCCCTGAAGTCGGTGTGGGGGGGGTCAGGGGCCAGTCCCCCGACCCCTCTGACTGTCTGACACTCGGACACGAGGCGCGACCCCGGAGGGGAAACCCGGACTCCGACGCAAAGAGCCCGCGGTTCCCACTGAACAAGCGAACGGCGCAGGCCCGGCCGGGGCACTGCTTCCGAGACGGCGTCCTCCCACCGTGCGGCCGCCGACGAGACAGACGCACGGAGCCCCGGTCGGAGGGCCGCCCCCTGCGAGAGCTCAGAAACCTGACGGTTCCAGCGCATCCTGTTGCCAGGGAAGAACGCCCGTCCCGCGTCGATTAAATCGAGATCCCAAAACCCCAACCCTGCACGTGGGAACACGCCGTTCACCTGCCCTCCAAGGCATCACTGATTAAAAAAAACAAAACGAGGAAAAGAAAATGTGCAAGTCCTCCAAAGCCTTCAGCACGTCCCATAAATCTCCGGAGCAGCCTTTGGCCGAAGGTGGCCCCGGTGTCTGGAAACAGGGAAGAGTATTTATCCGTGTGATAAAACTCAAGGTCTGAGAACAGACATCACAAAGGACATTAATTTTCAGGTTTTTTAGGTCCGACCCTTTGACTGGGAAACCATTCAGTGAGCCCGATGCCGTGTGGGAAAGCCAACGTTTTGACACCCACGGGTGAGCGTGAAACTTAATCTCCGTGAGTCGACAGCAGGCCGGGAGTCTGCGCGGGTTCAAATGCAGACACGCCCCCGTTTACAAGTCACCCCGGCCGGGGGCGGCGGCTACCTGTGTCGTGGGTCCGGGAGACACGCGGGGTGTGCTGAGTTGGGACACCAGCAGCTCTGCGCAAAGTGGCTCCGGATGACCACCTTCCTGGGTGCTGGGCTCTGGCTCGTCCCAGATGGGCGGTCCACCCCTCCAGAGCCCCCACCGCTCGCGGGGGGCCTGACCAGACCGGACGGGGCTATTCTCTGGGCCCACGTCAAACGTCTGATCGCTGGCTGTGTCTCGTATCCAAACGATGCCTCGACCGTTGTCCGAGACATCACGCAGACGGCAGCTCAGCCCGCACCCAGGGGGACCGGGAATGCCCAGTCGCCAAGGCCGCCGGGCCCTGGTGGGTGGAGGGGGACCCCGACCAGGAGAAGCAGGATCTCATGTCGCCACCTTCACTCCACGGGGGGCCGGGACGGTGGAGGGGAGGAAAGAGGTCCCCTCCCCCAGGCCCTCCGGCCGTGCCCCCGGGGGGACGTCTCTCCAGGAAACCGCCCCCCTGCCCCCCTCCCCACTGCACCGTGAATCTCGAGGAGAGCGGCCGGCCGGGAGGAGGGCTCCGTGAGGCTTGCTGAGTGCGGGACCGGCTCTCCGCACTGCACCGGCAGACCCCGCTGGCAGAGCGGCCCTTCCCGGGCCTGGGCGCAGCGCACTGCGCTTGTCCGGAGCTTGTCCTCCGACCCCTCCCCTGGCCAGCCCGAGGGCAGGGCGGTCACCAGCAGGGCACTGTGCGTGTGTGCACAGGAGGCCCCGGCCTGTGGGGGCTCTGCCCGCCTGGGCACTCCAGTGGCTGGAGCCCTCAAGGCTACGAGTGGAAGCTTGAAGGAGCGAGAGAAATGCATCACAAAATTCAGACCACAGAGCTTCCACTGATATGAAAAAGGATCAAATCTCTGCGGTGCAAGAGAAGGTCAGGGGGCACAGGCTGGAGAAAGCTATGACTGGTCAGTCTCTGATTTGCAAACCCCTCGGGCCTGGGGTTCTGGTCCTACTCAGAACACAAAGGACCCCAGAAAGCGGCAAGGTGGTGAAGCAGTTTCAGGAGAGATGGAGCACGGCGCCCGAGGAACCGATTTATTTCCCCCTTTTCACAGCGGCAGGAAAACGAGGCAATCGCCCACCACTTAGCTCAAACCCCTGCAGCTCTGACTCCGGCGCCCGCGGGGCCCGGCCAGAGCCCCCCTGACACTGTTTGGGTCTGCGCTGGGCCTGCCCTGATCGCCAGAGAAAACGTCTTTTTAAAGATCCTTGGAAGGCAGCGCTGTAGACTGGAACGAGCCATTTCCAGCTCTGCAGTGGGACCAGCTGCCTGCCGCCTTCTCTTTTCTGTCTCCATGGCAACCACCAGAATTCGGGTTAGGGATCAGCCGCGTCTCCTTCAGCAGCTTTCCAATAACCCCCCTCGCTCGCTCTCCCTCATCTTGTTTCAGCTGAGAGACGGCAGGTGACGGATGGGTGGGCAGGCACGCACATACACAGGCAGGTAAGGAGGTGGAGGAGAGACTGATTGATCTGGTTTTATGATCCGCGACCCATAATTTTCAGAGCAGTCCTTTCTGACCCAGAATCCATTACCCTTTGCTACTCAACGTGACCTTGAACGTGGACTCCGGAGGTCGCTTCCAAGGACACACGTCGCTGCCCTGTCCTTCACCGTGACGCAGAACCCCACCCACCAGCCCAGGACGTGGGACTCGGGCCGATCGCTGGGCTCCAGGCCCATTGGTTTCACATGCACAAAGGGGCCGTTTGAGGAGTAGACAAAAGGGTGAAAAGGAGGAAGGAAACACGACTCACACTCCTCTAGGCACCGCCCATCACACACAAGAAACGCCGTTGCCGCCGGGGCCTTCCTGCCGGGTGCCCCTCAGTCATACCCCCCACCCCCCGGGTCCCATCAGAGATGGCCGCTGCCCTGAATTTTACTTTGCATCATAACCTCACCCCACGAAACTACACTCCCGGACAACATCTGCTCTCACCTACGTGTGAGCTTCCACAGACAGAACCACAGTGCACGCATGGTCGACCTGCTCCCGGGGCTCACCCACGCCCCCCGCCCAGTGGTCGTCTCCCTCTGCACCCGCGCTGGCCCTCTCCTCTGCGCCACTGGGATGGGACTGGCGGGTCTCCGGGACGTTGCTAACGCCCGCCCCGCCGACTCAGAGCCTCCCGAGCCGCTCTCACATGGGCCGGGCAACAGGGGCGCCGGGGACAGGGCTTCCCCGGAGGAGGTCGAGAGCTGGTGTCTGCAAACCTGCGGCCTGGGCCCTGGGAGCCGCACGCCCCGACTGGAGCCTCGGACTCTGGGGCGTCGTCCGCGGCGTCATGGGGCCGGGCGCTCTCACCGCCTGGGTCGCGGCGGGTCGGTCTCTGGGTTGAGCACCTGCCCGCCCACCTCTGTGTGGGTTCCTCCAGCCCCCGGTGCACGCTCCCGTCTCGGGCCACTCTGTTATTTCCTGGGAGTCTGTGCGATCATTCGCACACTCACACACGATGTTGCATTTGGTCATCTCCGCAGGCAGCTGCCCGTCCTGCGCGGTGGCTGACCTCTGCCCCATCCGGGGATGGTCTGAAGAAGAGAGGGGCTGAAGGTCAAGTGCAGCCCAGTGCCCTTCGGCGACCTCCCCTTGGAGCCTGCGGACGGCATGCTGAAGAGCCCCCCCGGCCCCCGGGTGTCGCGAATGCTGTCCAAGTCTTTCTCTGACACCCAGACCACGGTTCCACTGCACGGGCGGGCAAGTCCTCCGTCCACCTGGAGGTCTGTGCTTGGTCACGCTGCAGAAGAACTGCATTTCAGCCCCGCCGAGGCTTCCAGTCCAGGAACGGCGGCGTTTTCCCCGTGCATGTCGGTCTCTGAAGACGTTTTTCCCTGATTATGCACAACGCCCAGCCCTGGACCTTCCACACCTGTCTGCTGGACCGACGCTTGGTGGCGGCCGACCGATGGTTTCCTCCCTCTGCACTGCTTTCTGGGAGCTGGTTCCTCCCTTCCGTCTGCCCTTCTGTCCGGGTGCCTGTGTTCGTCCTCACGCTCTGTCCCCGGTGGGTGGACGTCACCCGCTGCCCTCCCTCCCTCCTGCTGGGGGGGGGGTCTCGGGTGGGGTGGGAACACCCCCTGCCTGCACACGGCGCTGGCTGCTGGAGCAGGTGCCGTCGGCAGAGTCCCTGCCGCCACCCCTTCGGGACACGTCCCGTCCCCTCGCCATTTCCCTGTGGCCCGGGAGTGACGGGGAGATGCATGCGGTCAGCAATTTGCAAGATGCTGGACTTTTCCAGTGTCCCTTTGCTGTGGGCGCCTAACTCAACTGCCCACGGTCCTGCTTTCCCCCTGAGGTGGTGCCAAGTGTCGGGAACTCGCCCGGCATGGGTTTCGGGGTCACACCTGCTGAGGCTGCCGGCGGGGCCTGCCCACCCCCCAGGCGCCTCCGACGGAACTTCTGCGCTGGAGCTTCCGGGGAACGAGAAGGTGACGCCTCTCTCTGTCGTCACCCTGTCGTTGGACGAGAGGCGTCTGCCTCTCCCCGCGGCCCCATTTCTGCCGCACACACTTGGTCGTCATGTCCGGGAGCCCTTGGCAGCACGAGGCCCCTCGGCCACCCGGGACGCAGCCCTGCTGCTCCCCGTGGGTGACACTCAACTGGGGTGTCATCTCCGCCTGTCGGTGGACAGAAGGACCTCACGTCGTGAACTATTTACGGCTTTTTCCTCGTTTGCAGCATGTAGCCCATGTGCTTGTGCCTGTAACTGGTGGCGTGTGTTTGAACGCGATTCCAGTCTTTAAGAAAGATGTCTGCTCATCTCGCTTTTCTCCCCCCTCCTCACACCACAGCTCATCCTTCACGTCTTTCCCGACTTTTAGTGCAAATAGGACGCGCACGTCACGGGCGTCTTTATCGACCTCTGATCTCCCCGCTGCAGCGGTTTACACCCAGGCCCCACCCCCTTTTAGGGCGAGGCACACGGTTTTCCACGGTGCTTTGGGAGGCGTGTGTGCGTGCTTCCTCCATATCCGCGAGGGCTGTGACTGTCTTTGAGTCCCCTCCCTGCAGCGTCCGCAGCGCCGGAGGAAACTGCCGCCCGGCCGCGGATGGCAGGTTGAGCACACGGAAGGACTTATTCTCTGAGCCCGTGGCTGGTTAGAACCCCCCGGCGCTGGGTCCTGTAAGGTCGGGGGGCGTGGGTTGTGACAGGCGGTCGCCAGAGGCCCCGGGCCCGGAGCCCAGGCTGGAGGTGACCAAGGCCTGGTTCTGGGGGTGACCGTGGATACATGCCACCCCGGCAGGAAAGCAGCTCACGGTCCCCAGGCCGACCGGGAATGCCAGGAGTTCCTGACAACACTGACCTCTGCTGCCCGCTCCTGGCGGACGCCCCTGTTCCCCTCGGGCGGGCTCTGTGCCCCCCGCAGGGAGAAGCTCCCTGCGTCCCGACTCGCCGGAAGGGAGGCTCCGAGTCCTCTGCCCCCGCAGGCCCCCGGGGCCCGCATGGCAGCCAGGGGACGAGGGCAGGTCACGGGGAGGCTGCGTGAGGACCGCCCACGCCCTGGCAGAGCAGCCAGGCCTGGGGGAGCCCCACGATGAGGGGGCGCCCGGCGCGGACAGGGGCTGGGGGGGTGTCCGCGGCACAGCTGGCCGAACCCGACTAACGCCTGCATCTCGCCACACGGTGGAACTGGACACTGAGTGGACGGCGGCCACCTCCACGGCCCGCCAGCTCCCCGGGTCCCAGCATCACCCCGGGAGAGCGCCCCCTGGTCCACAGACAGCGAGACACAAGTGGCCAGTTAAACCCCAATGAGCCACGTCTCCGCAGCCCCCTTGCCCTGGACCCAACCACCGAGGCCGGCGCCCCGCCGCGGGACTCACTGGGGACGATGAACTCCATCTCCTCCGACGCGGCGGCGCCCAGCCGGTTGGAGGCGAAGCAGCGGTACCGGCCCTGGAAGTGTGCGACGTGCCCCTCGTTGGGGATCCGGAAGGTCCCCGAGTGGTTGGAGGCCACGACCCGCGGGTCGGAGAGGTCGAAGGGCTTGTCGTCTTTGGTCCACGTGAATCTGTAACAGAAACTCAGCTTGACGATGTGGGAAAGCCGTAACATGCCCGGAGGTATTTATACACAAATGCACAGATGTTTACACGGAAAACCAAAGCATTCATGGTTAAATGTATATATATGTATTTACTGGGGTACAATAGAAATCACCTCCCAGGCTGCTGCAGACTGAACGTTTACGTGCCCCAGATTTCACATGAGGGTGTGGGGAGGTGGGGCTTATGGCAGCTGACAAGGTCACCAGTGGGGGTCCCCAGTAAGGGGACCTCAGGGTCTGCACACCAGAGCGAGTTCCTGCTCTCCCCCCCCACCCCGTGCGGTTGCGAGGGGGGCACTCAGGGAACCAGCGGGGTCCCTGCAGACACCAGGCCTGTGGCGCCTGGGCTTGGACCTCGCGCCCTCTGGAAGCGGTCTTTGCCGGAGACTGGTCTTTGCCGTGACACCCCCCAGGCCAGGCGCCATGTTTTTGTAAGAGCAGCCTGGACGGCGGGAAACACGCAAAAACACGGGTGCGACGGAGCCGGTCAGCAGTCCCTCGGGCTTTGTTCCGCTCCTTTTAAGTGAGGATTGTTTCTGAGTTTGCCCAATCACTGACATTCGGAGACCACGATAAATGTCGAGTATTTGAGCCCAGGCTCAAATACGTAATTTCGCTCGCTGAGTTTCCTGGTTGTCACAGTGCCGGGGAGGACAGTGTCGCTGTCACATGGCCACCATCCCAGTCGCCTTGCCCCCCTTTTCTGGGCAGCAGTGTGACAAAGCGCCCCTACTGGGTCACGGCGGCACGCGTCAGGTGACACATTCTCACGGAACACGTGCCTTCGCAAGGGGCAGACGAGGGGCAGACGAGGGGCAGGCAGCAACCGCAGCAGATGAAACGAGGGAGTGTCGCTGCCCGTGTTGAGCCACTTCACCGTCTGGAATCCTCCCTGTGGCCCCCGCCCCCCAGCACACAGGTCCTCCTCCCCCGACGCGGACGGCACTTTGGACGGGCTGCCGCGGGGACTACGATGGCCCACGGTAACAAGCAGCAGGTCACGAGCAGCACCCAGAGTGCCGTGCCCACGGGCTGCATCCTGCCCCCCGGGCGACGACACTCTTCTACTGTGGCTGAGAAAACAGCGGCAGCGGCCTGCTCACGGGCAGTGTGGGTGGCACATGCAGAGACACGTGATAACACGGACCCCGCTCACAAGCGCGCTAACTTGTGGCTTCCCGACGCTGCCTCTCCCAGAGCAGGACTCGCCCTGGTCTCGGGGGCTCGCCCCCTTGGGAGGGGGGCCGTGCCCAGCGCGGAGAGCCGCCCCAGCCTCGCTCGGCCGGGCACCTCCCTCGAGACAGTTCGTTTCGGGGAGGAGCGACTTCCGCTGGCAGACAACCGCGGGGAAACAGCAGCCAGACTTCATTTCTGAGGACGCAGCCGCCGCACCGTGGCGGCCCCTCCCTGCAGACGTCCCGTGTGACCTGCTCACGGGGGTCGGCGCTGGGAGAAGGGCGGGGGACTCCCCACGTGGCACCGCCGTGGGGGCGGGGGCGGGGGCGGGAGGGACACTCACTGCGGCGGCGGGTTCCCTTTGGCCTCGCACTCGATCTGGAAGTGCTCATCGAAGGGGAAGGCGACCAGGACTTTGGATTGCTTTGTGATGGTCGGCACCTGCGGGACTGCACAGGGAGAGGGGGCGTTAGAGGGGGGCACGCTTCCGACACCAGGGTGGGGGGGCAGTTCCGCTCCGACGGGGCGCGGCAGACACACGCTCTGCAGCGGCGAACGCAGGGCTGGGCTGACGGAGGGACAGTCAGCGAACACAGAGCGTTCGGCGCAGAGGAACCCCACCCGGTGCCGTGACTGCATATGGCCATGGGTGGCCGTTTACCCAGAGTTCCAACCCAGAATAACGGGCCCATGTTTTTTTAAGATTTTATTTATTTATTTTTAGAGAGGGAAGGGAGGGAGAGAGAGAGAGAGAGGGAAACTGGGGGCTGTGGCCTGCAACCCAGGCACGTGCCCTGACTGGGAATCGAACCTCCGACACTTTGGTTCACAGCCCATGCTCAATCCACTGAGCCACGCCAGCCAGGGCGCAGGCCCGTTTTTAAAGCAGGAGAGAACCTGCCGTCTCAGTCCAGCCGTAAAGGACCTATTCTGAGATCCCCGGCACTGGGTCTCCGCATCTGCCCACCGCCTGCTGGCCCTGTCGTTTGGACAGGTCTGCCGTTTTTATCTTTCTTTATGGTTTTCTCAGACATCACATTTAATTCACTCCTTTTACACTGTTTCTTTCCGCTGACATGTGATCAACATCTAACACTTTTCTTATTACCAGAGGTTGGATTTCATTCTCATCCTCCCTTTCCCGTGTAACACAGACCTCGGTAAACGCCCTCATAAATTTTCCTGTGCTGAGTCAGCGACTCCTGACACATCTCCAGGCACAGACACACGGGGGTGACTCTGGGTGGCGTCCCAGCCACCAACGCCCGCATCTAAAATAATAAAACGTCCGACTAATTATTTCCAGGAGAGACACAGCCTCCCTGGACTCTTTGGGTTTGCTCCCTTTACTCCTCGTGTTAGCAAGGGGTGTCCCCTGAGCGTGTGCACCAGCTGTCACCCCCCCCGCCCGCTCACCAGTTCTCCTCCTCTTCCCGGCTCAGCTGCTGGGGGCTCCAGGCCAGCCCCCCCCGCCCCCTGCAGGACCAAACACACACACACACGGTCATGGGCATGTTCAGTGCTCGCACGCTGGAGAGCAGGCCTGGGCTCAGCTTTGAGGGGGCACAGCTCACGGCACGTGACCATCTGCCACCGAGCCCTCCGGGGTCCCCGCCGACAGACACCCCGCCACTGAGCACGGCCACCCTGCTGCCTCCAGCCCGGGAGGGGACAGACCCGTCTGGGGGTTGGCGGTCCAGCAGGACCCTGCCTTTGGGGGGTACGTTCTGAGAGGAGCAGTTTGCAGAAAGTCAGGGAGGCCGACTGGGGGGAACCCTCCTGCAGAGGGGGCCACGAGGAGGACCCCGAGCCCTGCACCCCACGCCCGGCCCCCACCCGCTCCTTCTCCTCGTTTGTGAGATCGGGGGCTCGGGCTGGAGAAGCCGTTCTCAGTCCTTGGTCTCGGGGTCACCTGACATGCCTAAAAGTTCTCGGAGACCCCCAAGCGCCTTTGTTCACATGACTCACGCCTGACCACACCCACCGCAGCAGGAACTAAGGGAGCCCGTCACGCCGCGCTGAAACCGACAACGCGTGTTCTCGGAGACACTCGGCGCGACGGGAGCGGGGCGCCGGCTCACGCACCGCACTTCTGCGTCAGGGCCGACACGGGTTCTCACGCCTCTGCTCCCACCCTCCTGCGAGAGCCGTTCTGCATGCAGACGTGAGGATGCCGGCCTCACTGGGACCCGAACTGGGAGAGGGGGGCAGCTCACCGTCCCACCCGGCGATGGGAGCGTGCACCAAAACTCGCCACTCGGTCGTCACCCGTGCATCTCCTGCCACGCGCACCCTGACGGCCCAGCGGCAAACGTCCACACTCTGCTGTGGTCTCGCCGTGGGCTCTGCGATGGGGGGGCGGGGGCCCTGGCGCTGCGACGTCCCATGGGAGTCTCTCGGGAAGAGCACCCACCGGTTCGCTGCGTTGGACCGAGCACCGGTTCGGACTTCTGACCCATTTCAGGGCCCGGCGCCCCAGAGGCGCTGGCTGCCACCCTCGCCGGTCCTGGTCGGACCCAAGCAGCCTCAAGTGCGGGGGAGCCGCTGAGCTCAGGGTGGGGAACGCAGGTTTGCCGCGATCCCAGTTTTTGCTCGGACGCTCACTTTCCATCAGTGACCGCACATATGGTCAGCTGTCTGTCTCCCTGGACGTCACGGGCCCACGAGATTCACGCTGAGTGACACCCCCAGGGCCTCGCCAGTGTGACTCCAGGCTGCCCACTGTCCTGCCCAGTCCCGGCGGCGCCCCAACGGGGGCCTGGGGGAGGGGGACAGAGGCGACGGCGGCAGTTGTCACACCGGTCAGCCGCTCCACGGCGCCTCCTGGTTCATCCCCCCACACGCTGACAGGGATGCTCTCAGGGACCAAGGCCGGACCCTCATGAAAGCGAGAGTGTTTCTCGGCTGACCACATGGGACCGCTGGTCAGCCCAGGATGCTGGCTCATGCAGTTCCCAGCACCCAAGGGCAGCTCTCCCTTCTGCCCGAGGCAACTGGTGACCGAGTCTCACCGCCGCGGGGACACTCGCCCACGCCCGGGCTGCCCCCACGGGGCCCCAGCAAACGGTGCAGGAACAACCGAGCGCACCCGTGTCCCCGCTGACCCATGCCCCAGCTCTGCTCGCTCCCGCGTCTGAGGGGCGCGGCCCCGGCCTCCTCGAGAATCCGAGCGCTTCGCTGCTGCTGCAGGTGGTGGGGGCGGGGGGGGGGGCGGGCTCGCAGCCAGGGGTCCCCGAGCCTCGGCTAATGACGGGGAGCAGCCTGTTTATCGGGGCATTACTCTCTCCTAAACTTGCTAAGGCCGTAAAGTCCCGGCAACAGCTAGTTGCTCGGGGAACGGCGTTCGTCCCCTGTGGGTGCCATAAGCACACACATCCCGCGTTATAAATCCTTCCTCCGCAATTAGGCCAATTACAGAGGCACCCGGCAGCGCGCTGACACTCGAGCTGAACGCCTGCCCGGGCTCCATCTGCCCGTGCATGCTCCGGAGGGCCGAAATAAGTGGGTAATAGTCACTTGTTCCGAAAACATGTCATTCGTATTTTATAACAATTGTTGTCTGAGGACAGCGCGGCAGGAAGAGGGGTGAGGGGCTGAGACACCCAGATTCGGCGAGTGCCGTGGGTTTCGGGGAACCGGGCGCACCACGGCACGGCGGGGGGGCGGGGGCTGCCTCAGAGACGGCGGTCAGGGCCCGGACCTGCGGCGGGCAGGACGGGAAGCCACTGGCCCTTTCCCGCCGGGCCCCCGAGGACCTGGCTCCCCGTCCAGTGATGCTGACTCAAACCGAAAGGCCCGACTGCAGGTGACCGACCCCCGGCACCCCCCAGAATCTCCGCGGTGGGCGGGCCCACCCGGCCTGTCCCTGAGCCGGCGGGGTGCAGCCCGTCTTGCTCAGAGGAAGCCTCGCGTCTACCTCAGTGGGGCTCCTCAGGAAGAGGGAATTTGGCAACGGAGACCTGACCACCTGCCACGGGAGGGGGGGGCTCTCACCTGGGGGGGGGCTCTCATCTGGGGGGGGGTCTCACCTGGGGGAGGGGCTCTCACCTGGGAGAGGGGCTCTCACCTGGGGGTGGGTGCAGACGTGAGGGTGGGCACAGTGCGTGGTGGCAGACTCCACGTCACGCAACTCAGGAGGCCCCGGAAAGTGGCTGTAGACGCCTCCTGCCGCACAGCGACGGCCTCCTGTGCTCCCGATCCGACTGGGCCTTCGGGACACGTCCGGCTCAGTGCTCGCCTGCAGCGCGTGTCCGACCTTCCGAGGCCAAGACTGGCCCTCCGGAACCCGGGGCCCGGGGGGGCTGTTCCCAGCGCCGAGATGCTCACCCACAGACACGGCCGTGACCCTGGGGCCGTGACGCTCAACACCACACGCGGGAGACACGGCACGAACCGCACGGATGAAACGCCCGTGACCGCTGCAGGGTCCTTTAAGTCCCCCGTGCAGAGGGCACAGGAGAGTGTCCCAGACTTCTGCACGACGCAGCTAACGCGCGGGCACACGCCCTGTGTTTACTGCGCACACGCTACTCGTCGAACCTTTACATTCCCTCATTTAACCTGACCGGCGACTTCCAGAGCTCGGGGTGCACCTTTACCAGCACGTGCGTGTGAGACACGCACTTCCAGGAGACCGCCGACCAGCCTCTGGACACCAACGCACACCGCAGGCCCCGGGTCTGCACCCACGCTGCCGCCGCGCTACCTGAGCGCTGTCAACACAGGCACCCACCACTCTCCTAACTCACCTTCCACCTGAAATACACAGCCACCTCGGAAAAGAATACCAAGCTCACTCAGTTTCCCTTCTGTCGTGGTTGCTTGGGTACCAGTCATTTCTAAATCATAGTGTCCCTAAAATAAGAAACTGGAGTACATAGAAGGATGGCTGTGGGTCACATTGCAGAGGGTCTTCTGTGGCCCAAAGCCCCCTCATGGGTACAGCTCAGGTCCGCACAGGTCACATCTGCACGGGAGGCGGCAGCCGAGGCCACCTGAGCCACCAAGACCTGAAAAAGGCAGAGGCACACTCTGGCACAGAGTGCTGGGGGCCACAGAGAAATGCGGCCCTCCCGGAAAATCAAAAGGCCCCTACGGAACCCCAGGGAGTCGGCGCCCAGGCCAGCACCGTACCTGAGAGGGGTATTTCCGTGGCGGCGGCGGCGGCGAGCTCCAGCAGGAAGAGGATCAGAGGTGAGACCGCCGAGCCCCTGGCACCTGACGGCGCCTCCATCGCTCCTCCGGAACGGCGGCCCCACAGGGCGACCACCTCACTGTCGTCCCTGCCGACCGCGGCGTGGCCTGCAGATTAGGGAGAGACACGCAGAGAATGTAACACACGCACGGCTCACGCACCCCGCCCCGCCTACAGACAGACGGGCATTCCGTGTGCTCGTCCGTGGGCCGGAGCCTTCCTCATCGTGAGACGCTGTTCCGAAGGACCCCACCGAGGCGCACGGGGCTCCCCGCCCCCTCTGCTTTGAGTAAGGACGGCGGGTAGCGCCCCCCAGAACCCAGAGACCGCCCCTAGGAGCCGGGTTTTCGGCCGGAGGGGTGTTCCTCGGAGGCGCCCCGGGGCAGCCCAGGGCCGATGGGCCAGACCCGCCTCCTTCAGCCCGTGTCCCTGGTCGTCAGGTGGCTCTGTCTCCCCCGGTCCGACCCACTGGGCCCACTCAGGACGCATCACACACTCAGTCCTCCGTTTTTCCAGCAAAACAACTCTCCGTGTGCAGAGTCCCTGCACTGAAGGAGGCTGAACAGGGGCGACAGGGAGCCCACAAAGGAGGCACCGGAGGGCAAGGGCCAGCCACCGCTGCCGAAACGTCCAGGTTCGGGGTCTGACGCAGGGCGTCCGCCGACCCTGGGGCCCAGAGAAGCGGAAGGAAGATGGAAGTGTCGACCTGCCTTCACCGCCTCTCGCGGTTTCACTCCTTCGGACGCCGTGACGACCGGCAGCTAACCATCGCTTACAAGGCGCTGTTTTAAACACACTCGCTGCGAAGCGCAGGGATCAGATCCTTGGCTACGGAACTCCCTTTGTCCGTGAAAGTCAGTCGCCCTGGTGGCTCGCCCAGAACCAGTGGGAAAGTCGGTGAGTGCGGAGCCAGACCGGCCCGGGGACGCGTCCTCGGTTCTGGGCGCCTGTCGCTCGGCTGCAGACGCAGGACGCGCGGGGACGGCGGGTCACATCTACAGGCAGACACGGTGCTGCCGTCTGCTGTTGTGTTGGTCACCTGTCTGCTGTGTTGGTCACCTGAAGGTCTGGGAAGTTGTACCGATCGTGATGGGAAACACCCGCCCCACCACCACCACCACCACGCAAAGGGAGTCCCTGTTCCTGAACTGGAATAATGTCACTGACTCTATTTGGTCTCCACTCGGCCATTCTGTGCCGTGGAAACTGAAAAAACATTACCCTTGTGTGGTTCAAGTGTTTCTTAAGACGACCAACAGGTTACAGCAGCGATAAAGAGTCTTTTCGGATGTGGCGTTACATGACTGGACACCCACCGTCGTGGTGTGACGACTCATCCAGCCAACAGGGTGCGATGTGTCAGAAATTGCTTCTGGGAAGCAGTGAGCCCCGCCCCGGGCCCCCCCACTGCGGGGGGCTGGGGTCTGCTCCCCACACCTACTCTGCTCACCAGGGGAGCCCCCCAGCCCTCCCGGGTCCGCACAGGCCGGGTAGAGTCCGCCCGCCCTCCCAGCTCAGCCATGGGGAGAAGACAGCTGTCCCGCCCTGTAACTCAGAGGGCCCCCCGGACCACCTCTGCGTCCCGGGGTGACTGGCGTGACAGGGCAGAGGCCCACGCGTGCTTCGGGAGAACAGAAACACGGGTGGACACGCATGCAGCACGGAAGGACGTCTAACAGGGTGCAGGCTGCACCCCACACGCACCCCAGCCCTCCCATCCCAGCCGCACAGAGTCCCAACACCATCGGGATCAGCCAACACCATCAGGATCAGCCAACACCATCGGGATCAGCCCCGCGCTCCGCTCCGTGTCAGGCAGCATTTTCCCCCCTGGGAGCCGGAAACAGATCGGCAACTGTCAGTGCAGCTCCGGGAGGGGTACATTGTGGCCACGGCACGGGAAGTGCAGCTCGCCTCAAAGTGACCGGGCCGGTTCGCACAGGAGCCAGGGAGGCGGCACAGCTTACATTTCACGTTCCCGCCGCCCAGCAAGGGCTGGGGGCCCTGAGCTGCAACAGCAGCTGCCCCCGCGAGCCCTGGTGCCGGGTGGGCGGGGGCAGCCGCACCTCCGTGGCCTGGCCCCGCCTGAAACCCCTGCTGTGACGGTGGCCTGCGCACGCTGGAGCGCGGTCTGAGCGGCCCAGCACCCTGAAACCGGGAAGGACACACGCAGGGGAAACCAAGAGCTTTTGTTCCGTCTCCCGCTCGGCGAAGACCATGAATCACCGCGCAGGCGCCATAAACACAGGGACCCTGAGACAAGGCCACGGCTCCCGGCTCTGGCAACAACGAACGGGTATCGCACATCACGGACACAACCGTGCACACCGCTGCACGCCTGGGGGAGGGCGCCCCGGGGGGGCACACAGGAGGGCTCGGCGCGTCCGCCCCTCCTCCCTGCAGCAGGGCCAAGCAACAGGGACCTCCCCTCCAGCCAGGGGATTTCACTGGGGAATTCTGTCGGCTAAACTCATGTCCACGCCGCCCGCCACTGGCTTAATGAAGCAGCGGAAGACGGAGGTTGAGCCCCGGCGGGAACGTCGCCGCACACCCATAACCAGTGTTCCTGGTTTTCCTCTGTCTTCACACCCACACGTCCGAGTTCTCACCCAGTGGTTGCTACGTGGCGTTTCACTCGGACTCCTTCGTCGTGGAGGAGGAGAAAGAGAATCCGCAAGTCGAGACCGCACAGTGCGGGGAGGCAGAGGTGGCCTCACACCCCGGCACACCCCTGAGTGTGAGTCGGGCCCCGACAGGTTCTCACTAGCGCCTCCACGTGGTCGGCTGGGGGTCCGTTAATGCAGCCGCGACACAGATGTGCCAACCACCCCCACTGCTCCCGGAAGGGTGGGCGGCTGTCACTGGCCTGTCTGCCACCTCGTCGTTTTTATACTTTCCAGCCCCTGGTCCCTGGGCGGGGGGGGGGGGGGGCTCAGGTCTGCGCTGGTGCAGGCGCACTGTCTGACCTCCCCAGGCCCCTGTGGGAGACGTCAGGGCATCCCCTCGGAAGGGCCCACACTGCTCGCTGCACAAGGGAATAAAGCGAGGGCGTGTCCGGTGCTGTGACTGCGATTCCCGCTCCCGCCCCCAGGAAGGGGGCCCTGGCTCCGTTCCCTGGACTGAAGCCACGCGGCAGATGCCCCGGCTAGCGGTGACGGCACTCATCAGCTCCCCGCCCCCGCGTCACACCCAGGCCGGTGTGAGGAGGAGGAGGAGGAGGAGGAGGAGGAGGAGGAGGAGGAGGAGGAGAGCACCCGGTCCCCAGGCAGGGACGCACCAGCAGTGCAGGGAGCCTCCACGTCCCTCTGCCCTGAGTCTCCTGTCTTTGTGGCTCCCACACAGAGAAGTCCAACTTGCTCTCCTCCTGTTAACCTGCCCTCTGTCACTTCCACAGGAGAGCAGCCGAGGGGACAAGAGGGGGAGACGGAGCCGGGGCAGAGGGCTGACCGGCGGCCGGAGGGGCGCGGCATGTGCCAGCCCGAGTCGAGTTGGCCTCTCTCAGTCCGTGCCAGAACGTCCTCGGGCCGACCATTTCTGAGAATCAGCCGGCCCAGGAGCAGCTCTCAGAAAGGGAGCCCAGCGGCCCTTTCCCAGAGACAGCATCTCCCTCAGCGAGGGGTCTCCTCCAGAGCACCCTCGGAAGAAGGTGGCCCCCCATCTGCAGTCTCCCCAACAGGGGAGGCGCCGCCGGCACCTGCCCGGAGACCGAACTCCACCGGCTGCGCTGGGCCTGGTCCCCAGGGGCCGGCTCCGCCTGCCCACCCGGCGCCTGCTCCGAGTCTCAGCTGAGGGAGGTGTTTGCGGGGCCGCGTGGGCCACGCTGGAGAGATGCCCAGTCTGCCCAGCACCTCCGTGTCGCTAGACTCCTGCTGGTGTTTCTCTATTAACCCACCTTTCCTGGGGGGGCTCTGCAGAGAACCCAAAAGGGGGCAAACAGCGCTGCCTCCCCTCCCCCACACCCTCAGAGCTAACTCTCGGAGCGCCGCGGCCCCTTCTCACCGTGCCCCCCCCCACTGTCAACACGCTCTGGCGGCAGAATTACCTCTGTTTGATCCCACGCCCGTGGGCCCTTTCTCTCCCCGCCCGCCCGGCAAAGGGCAACCCTGTTTAAGCAGCTGCTCCCCCTGCCGCTCCGGGGCATCGGGAACTCGCACAATCCAACACCGTGTGGGCTCCGACGTCCCGCCCGGCCGCGTCGGCGTGGTGACCGCTCGCTCACCCGCCTGCCCAGGGACCCTCGGCACCCCCATGCCCTCTCTCAGACCCCCGCAGACGCGGGGGCCGCACGCTCTCCAACCGCCCGTCCTGCGGGGGCATCGGGGGCCAGCACGCCTTACAGACGGAAACGGCCAACACATGGAGGGCGGGAGGGAGGGAGGAGACAAGCCACCGCCTCATCTATTAGTGGCCACGTTGGCGTGCGCAGTCGCAACAAGAAGGGTCTGAAACGGGACGGCAGCGCCCGTTCCACAGGGGTTTAGGACGTCAGTGAAAAGGAGTGCACTGAGGTCCAGCTCCTCCGAGCCAGCAGGCACCGCCCACGACCCCGCGGAGAGCGATGGGAAACCGAGTCCCGCCCACCGCACTCCTGAGGGTGCTGCCTTGTGGGGCGCAGCGAAGCACTTGCTGCTTTGGCTGATTACATTAGCTTCCCTCTCTGCGCACAGTCACTGATACAATGTTTCAGTTAACAACCCTAACAGTCAGAAGAGCAACAATTATCTTAACAGGAGGGCCTTTTAGAATCCAGCAACAACAGCAAACCGGAAACACGCGACAGGGCTCCTCTCTGTGCCAGAGGAGTCCCAGCTCCATCCCTCGCTGGGGCTGTTTCCCAAGGTCAGACACAATGTAACCCCAGTCGGTTGGCTTTCTGAGCCCTTGCAGCTAAGGGAGACCAGTGAGGAACGTGCATTCCGACCGGTGTCTTTCTCCCGTGAAGTCAGAAGACTCGGGGGGTGGGGGGGAGGCTCCTCAGTTCGAGCTGCAGCTGTGAGGTCGCCCCCCGCCCGCCCCTGCCCAGCACCCAGCACTCGTGTCACGTGTTCGGCCGCATCTGTGGGTCCTGGCGGCTCAGACCCTCCTCGAGGCTCTGACGGGACCCCAG